GATTTCAAGCTTGTCAGCACTGTCCAAAACAAGACAACTAACCTGACACAGGCTGACCCTGCTTCAAGTTGGGCTTGGACAATGCTGCCTCTGGAGAACCCAGCCAGCCTAAGTTCTTCTAAGGAAGGATTTCTAACACACATTGGGATGGTCATGTCCTACTCAATGCAAGTACCACATTGACAAAGGCAGTATCTTCAGGGGGTTATTGGCAATTACAGGCAATGGTAATGTTGCTCGTGACAGCTACTGGATTTTTAGGCACTATTAGTATCAGCCTTGTTACCTACTGAAAACCCACTGTGCTCAGCTATCGGCTTTCTGTTGGCAACCCTGGCCTCTTTGACCCTATGCTGTGCTGCAGCTATGGCTGCTGTAATGAAATGGACCTTCAGGGCTCATTCCTGCCAAAACTCAGCTATGCCTTATTATTTGTCTTGGAAGGGGCTGCCATCTGGATGATTAGCATAGACCATTTTCTAACCACTGTTTAGAGGCAAAAATAACTGAAATCCCACAGTGCCAAAGCCACAACTGTTGAGTTGGTTTTTTTTTTCTTCCTTCTCTTTTTAATAGTTTGTGTTGCCTTTCCTCCACCGACTGCATGGATGGCTGGAGAAATGCAAACCAGGGCTCTCCAAGGCTGTATGTCCTGCTGGCTGAGCAAAGGAAGTGATGCTTGTTACAGTAATGTTTTTCATTCTTAGCATCATGCTGCACTACAAGCTTTGCATCCCTAACACCCTTTGTAAGTGTCCTGAGCACCCCCAAATATGCCCACAGCCTTTTCTTCAGCCAAAGAAACAAACTTGACCTGGTAGGGCTGCAGAAACCTTGCCAAGTGAACATAGACCCGAAATTCAAACAAGAGCTCTTCACTATAGCTCCCACTCTGTTGGATTTTTATCCTGCCAGCTCCTCAGGTACGCAGTGCACAACCTACCTTTGGCATCCAGGAGATGACCACAGCATTGGTAATGCTTATGATGCTTTTACTTCTTTCAGGTACCAGCCCATGCTCCCAGATCAACACCAGCCCCGTTTCGCAGTTTTCCCCTCAAAATGTTTTAGTACTTCTGTTTGCATTGCTCCAGGATGTCCACGCACCCATCACTAATTAGACCTCTCATGTAACGGTCTGCTTTAATCAAGAGCGGATTGCTTCAGCTGCAACAGAGGCAGATCAAGACCTTTCACATTTGTAACACAGCTGCTGTAAATCTGTAAAACCCCAGATTTGGTCAAGGAAGAGGTAAAACAAAGCAAGACTTCTTCCCCTAAGTAAAATTCCTTAGTTCTTAAGCACACCTGTTTATCTGCATTAACATCCTGCACTTGCTTAATTCAGCCTTTCCATCTCACCACCTCTGTCAGTTACCCAAAGGAATCCTCTAATTACCACTGAAGAATCTTTCTCATTCACTTGGCCATGCACATCCCAGGGTTTATACACCTAGGAATGAATGACAGAAAAATAATTAAAAGATTTTTTTATTAAAAATCAGCATATTTATACATCTGTACATTCCACATACTGCTGCATATGTTCACCAACATAACCACCAAGTCAGAAAGCATTAACGGTAAAAATTTCCATCTGAACAAATTTACTGCAGGGGAACTTCAGTTTTGCAATCAATCAGACATTACAGAATGTCATTAACTTCTTTTCCCTTTAAAAGTAGCAGCACATTTAATTATCAGTGTTCACAAGGCATAAGCCCGAAGTGTTTTACAGCAAGAGAAAAATTAATTAGTAAATACAGGCAAGAGAAGAGCTCACAATGGAAATGCATTCACTGCTGCCTATTATAAACAGCAGGATGGTAATAAAACACTTAGAGCTGAACGGAGACTGTAGCAAATGGGGAAGAACAATAGAATAAAAGGTTACTTCTTGACACAATAGTATAAAATAAAGTATTTTTTTAATGTCATTCAGGATAAGAGTCCTGCAAAGTACAGGCATTGTTATAAAAGATTCAGCAGTCAGAATAATGCTTGTGTGTTCAAACACATAATGAAGGTCTGGAAGAACATATGTATACTCCATCCTACCATCACCTTTCCACAGTTGACATCAGTAGGGTTTCATGTAGTTTATGTAATAAAGCAACATTTTATTGAAGACAGATGCACTCAGGGGTCCATCCAGAAGATTTAAACCCATGCCACTTACATGCTCAAAGAGTGACATTTATTAGGTAACAAAGGTTGGGAAGTTTTTGGAAACTGGTGAGCCACCATGGTAAGGGCTGCCTGAAGAAGTCGGTTCAGAGGCTGCTGTGGTGCTCTCTGTATAACAAAACCCAATTGCTTATTTTCTCCGCATTTTGAGTATTCTGGGCAACTTTTTCTCATTAATAATTTTTTTTTTTTTGATTTAGAGAGTGGGAAAACTGCAAACAATGACATATACACAGCACAGGTAATTTTTATGTAAGGAAGTGTGGAAATATGAAAAGGATTTAACAAGTGCTTTTTGTATGTAGCAGCAACTGTAATGGAGAATGCTAAAAAAGTCAGAGCTGCAGTAGTTCTGTAATTAGAGGTTACATGTTAAGCAAACATTCCTTAATATCTGCAAAAGCATCTGTGTGAGACTAACCTCATTTATCATGTCCTGAATCACAGACACTGTCACATTAAAACAAAAAACAATCTGCACTACTGTTTTGTTTTTCACACTTTTGAAGTTGGAGGAGCCTCTTACGGGGAGCAAAAAAATTTAAATGTGAGAGATGAATTACAAACACAAATAATTTAGCAAGAGCTAAATTAAGAAGAAATTGTCAGAATTCTCCTCTCTCTAAAGGCAGGTTTAAGACACCACATTGCCAAAATGGAAAGAAAAAGATTGCATCATGTTGGAACTCCCAGAACCCATTTAATTTCCAAACTAGAAGGGCGGTGAAAGAAAGATTCCTCTTTCCTGACGCCTCCTCTATGTATACAGTCAGCAATTAATAACTGAACTCATTCCCTCCTTGCTGCTGCAGCCATACAAAGAACTTAACCACAGTAGCAATGCTGTCCCAGGACTTCAGGTACATACAAAGAGAAAAGAGCAAACTGACCGCGCCTAAATGAAAGGAGGAATGAACTCAGGTTCCCCAATATGAGGTTCTCCTACCCAAAAGGCATGTTGTAATTGTTCTACCTAAGGAAATTTGAATGCAGACCTTTCATGAATGTCCTGGTGATAAAGTACAGCATACCATGTGCCACTCTGATGAAGGCCGATTATCTCTTCTGGTCAAGTATCATCCCAATTCCTCAAGTGCTGTATGCACGCTTGGAAGAGCATCTTCCATCTGCCACCATCCTGCTGAGCTCTTTGCTCTACCTCAGGCTCACATGTGGGCTTTATCTTTTTGTTACCATAGGACTTCCGTATTAATTCATCCAAATGAGTTCTAGTATGAAATGTAACAAAGAAATGGGTAACAATGCATGTATCAAATGTCAATGTTTTTCCAGTCCATATTTCTGGTGGGCTAAAAGAATTAAATCCTCCAACTTTATCACCCTTTTGGTCATCTATGATTGCAAGTATGCTACCTTGCATTACTGTGATTTCTGTATGTTTTGTACGTACAATTATTGTTACTGCAGGATTTTAGCCAAAGTACAAATCTGAAAAGTGTTGAATATTAATAAAAAACTGTCTAATCTTTTACAGACATACCTTTTCATGCAACAACAATTACAATGTTATGATGTGGCCTGGAATAGTATGATCTCTATTCCTATTCTATATTCTCTATTCTATCTCCAGTTGACAAGACTAAGTTCATCACTACCTAGTGGCTAGAATTAGTCTTACTCATGAAGAGCAGTCTTTGGCTTAGTACCTCCTTATTAGACAGGAGAAGAGCAGACTGAGGATGCATGCAGCAAAAGAAAGCATTTCTACTGTATGCTATTGCACACAAAAGGCTTATCATATCTTTGTAAAAACACTTCCTATCAGGATTTTGAGGACAGGGGACTACAAATTTGTCATCATTGCCCACTGTACACACAATGTTTGAAAGCCATGAATACAAGATACAGAAGAATTTGCTCATACAAGTGCCACAGAAGAATTTGTCTTTTTTGAAGGTGCATTTCACCAAACATTTCTTACACATCTTAGCAGAAAGCACTAATACTCCTTACTTGGATTTTATGTAATTTTTTAAAACCCAACACAACAAGTACACTTTTCTAATTTCAAACTCAGTAAAGAGAACGATCCAAAGGTCTTTTGCTTCAACAGAGAAGTGGATATTTTTTTTCCCTTAGATGCAGTCTGGTTGCCTCTTCCTGGAGGCAGCATTATGTTTACACAGCTGTTTCATAAGCCAACCTTTCTGTAACAGGAGACCTCTTCCAAAACTGCATCTAGAAGTTCTCATTTTGCTGAAAGTCTCCACTCTGATTTGGAAAGCTGAAACAGGGAGCAACTGTACTAACTCAACTGCATGCTAGTCAGTAACCTTGGTATTTATTAGAGCCTTGCATGATTAAAATAAATGCTTTGACTTTGAAATACTTTTATTTAAAGTCACCATTTTTTAACCTCTCTTGTGGGAAGCTGCTTCTTTTAAACTGATTGCTTTAAAATGGTTATATAGCAAAGTCAATACTTATCAGGGAAGTTAAAGTGGTTTTGTTGTTATTTGAAAAACTTCTGTTTACAGGATGTTTTGCAGAATATAAGATATCCAGTACCTCTGTAATAAACCTTTGTAGATTTCTTCCCAATTATACTTTCTTTCCATTATTCTGATTGCAAAAAGTCATCCGCAAGTTATAAAAACCTGTTCTTGTGGAGTTCCCGTCTGCCTAAGTTATGTTATAGCCAACATTTAACACGTAACCTGTACACTTAACGATCAGGCACATCTTTAGCCTCAAAAGAAACTCTAGAATGATATAAGATCAATTTATTCAACTGTATGTACAGTATATTTGCATATTAATAAATAAATCAATATTAAAGTTAAGGTCTCTTCCCCCATATAAAAGTGACTACAATCTGACCAGATCATCTGAACTCTTTTTATCTTCCAAGCACAGCTGTGTGACTGAGGCTATTAGTTTCCATGTCAGTTTTTTTTTTTTTTTTTACAGTAACTGTAGGAGTAGAAACCTAATGGACCGGTGCTTACATTTAAATCCTATATAGCAGAGGAGAGAGGGGAAGTACTGAAAAGTGCATCAAAAGTCAACGATTTGTAGAGCAAAAATCAAGTTCATAATGTGATCCTGGGGAAGAGAATTCAGCCCAAAAGAGGACATGCTGCAGCAAATGTTATAACCAATGCACATTTTTGTCTTGATAGTAAGCTGCATGATGCCAGTCTTGTCACATAATGTTCCACGAATCCCAACTCCAATAGATGCCATCTCCACCTCTACAAACTTATTAACACCACATTCAGTGCAAAGTGACATTTCTTAAAATAACTGCCTTGTCTCCATAACATTCACCATTATTGTGAAGAGAAGGCTCATTTTCTTTAACTGTTTATTACTATATACAGAAGAGCCTACATATGCACCTCTCCATTTCTGGTAGTGAATTTACTTCTATCTACATTCATTAGAAATTAAAAAAGATAAGTGGTGATATTTCATATTTACTGCAAATTTTCCCATTAACCCAAAGACCCGGTGTTCGTCTTGATTTACACTTAAAAGTAGCTGCACTTTGCTCTTTTTTCCAACCCACTTTCAATGGGGCATAAGTCCTGGGAACCACTGGGACCAGAACATATTTCAAGTCTGATTGCTGGAGCTGGAAGAGTGATGAGTCATGTTTGAATTCAGATGTCTGTTTGCAGCACAGTGTGTGTGCACCATACTCCCATTTGGGTATCTTACAAAGACAGGCTCGCAGAAAGTATTTTGGCACACCTGACAGACGTTTTTGTCCGAAAGAAGAATTGGAGTTCCTCTTTGTTTAACCTAAGAAGAGGGAAAAAACATCCAAACATGAGTCTAACAAGAAAGAAAGGGAAATTATAAAGGTATGTAGTTTCATCTGTACCAAATGGTCAAACAGGTCAATGATAAAGGTCATATGAAAAAACAGCTTGAACTATTTAACTTGAATTCAGTTTCCACATTCATATTAATTCATTTACATGCTTCCTCTTATGTACTTTTTTTTTTTTTTACTTTCCCCTTGTTTTTCTTCTCTGTTTAATAAAGAAAAGCACTCACACATTTAATGCAACTGCAAACCTGAGGCAGCTTCCTAAACAAAGTCACAGGACAGCTCCACACAAACTCAGCACTGATGCACTTTTATTTGAGACAGATTCTGCTGGATATACCATTGTTAAAACTAAATGGATTTAAGAATCTGCTGGGAGCTTTAAACAACGCAGTTCTAGCTAGGAATAGAAGAACGTTTCATAAGTGAATTCCTCACTAACAAAAGCTACCAACAAGTAGCTGAGTAAATTTTGTTGCAAGTTCTTACATGTCTCAATCCTAGTGAAAAAATACTAACTCACATTTGTTAAAGTTTCTGCAAGAACTTTGTTAATCTATAAATCCCAGATTCACTTTCATTCAGCCCAGAAGTTCACCAAAGCTCTTCCTATTTCAAGGCGCCACCTTCCATTTTGTTTTACAGAGAAAGCATAAAATTAAATCTGAATGTAGTAGTCATGGTAAAAAAAGTTAATAAATGCAATAAGCATATTTGCCAAGGACACAAAGACAGCTTTGGCCTAATTCATAGAATCGCAGAATCAACTAGGTTGGAAAAGACCTTTAAGTTCAAGTCCAACCATTACCCCAGGCGTGCCAAGTCCTCTACTAAACCATGTCACTGAGGACCACATCTTCATGTTTTCTGAATGCTAACAGGGCTAGCGATTTCACCATTTCCCTAGGCAGCCTGCTCCAACACCTGATCACCATCTCGATGAAGACTTTTTTCCTAATATCCAGTCTAAACCTCCCCTGGTGCAGCTTGAGGCCATTACCTCTTGTACTGCCACTTCTTATGTGGGAGAAGAGACCAACCACCACCTCAAATTCTTCAAACTCCTTTTGTCATTATCACATATCAAAGGACTTAACTATAAAGCTTCTAAGCAACCTACCTTCTCATATTTGTATATTAAGTTTTCAGCTTGTGCTAATCCAAGTGCAGCCTGAGTCATTCTTTTTGTATGAATGCTTTGCCTCACTGCTCCAGCCAAGAATGGGGAGAGGAGCTGCACTGACCAGCTGTCAGGCACCACCTGCAAAACTAGACTCGCATCAAATTCAGCAGCGTGGTTATTCAGGAGGTCCACAGCAGCCATGACTAGTGCACAATCCGAAGTGCCTAGATTTAGATACACTGACAGCAACATATGGAAAAGCCTCCGTCTATACTGCATGTCTCTGTTCTCAGAGTTCCATATACAGTATTCTTCAGCAGCATGGTAGTCCTTTAACTCGTGGACAAGGATATGCAAAGCCTTCTCGTGTTCTTCTAGTTTTCCATATAAAATTGCACTTTCCATATGAAGGTCTGTGCCTTGGATTTTGTCTGTTAAATGAGAAACAAGGCAATATTTACTCAGTGGAGTAGACAACTACTCCCTCTCACAGTCAGTGCAACCAAGCTCACAGACAAAACTCCTGCTATTTTTGCAGGGGTGCTGGCAGCTATATAGGGAATAGATTTTTATAAGCACAAAAATGCCTAGATGTATGGAAACATCCCACACAAAAGAGCAACACAAAAATATAGGAAAAAGAGATTACTAAGTAACAGTTGTAAAACCAATGCCACTCATATCTTTTGAAGTCTAGCATGCACATTTCTGCACATACTGCTACCAAGTATGATAAACTAAGATGAAGCCCCAAACTTTTTAATCCCTGCTTTGTGCATTATAGAAAACAACAAAAAAGTTTGAAGTCCACAGAAGACAAAGGTCAAATAGTACCTTGCTTTAAGAAAAGCACACAACAAACCCTTAATCCAGTCTGACAGTTCAAAGGTGAACTGTCAGCAACAGGCAGGGGGAATGGCAAGTTCATCTCGCATTTCAAGAGAAATTAGAAAATTCTCTACTTACAGTAAAGGTGATAAAGATTTGGCATAGGCATCTATAAAAAGTATGGAAATAAAATGTTTCTCTCCCAAAAATATTTTGGTTATCAAGAAGGAACAAAGTAGTGTGCACTGATCTCACCTTCGTGTAAGATAAGAATTGTCATGTAAGAAATCCTGTGTTTTGGAGTACATGTATTTCAAGAGTATAATCCATGTTGTAACTCTTGCCCTTAAAAATCTGGTTAACAATTAAAAGTTGAAAAAGAGCAAAAGTTTCAATGATGCTGTTATATTGGTACATTATCTGTCACTGGACTGGATGCTGACTGGAAAGGCAAGGGGACATTACACATTGGTAAATTATTTCAGTTGTTACTCAGCTATTTTTATTTCCACATCCACTGGATTTTTCCATGACATTTTGGAGAAACATTTCAGATCTTTCAGTACAATAACAAGTCATTTCTCTTTCATCCACTGTTGCAGTAGATGAAACCTTAAAAATTAGGCATTATAAGCACTGGCCAAGGAAAAAAAATAGCCCAATTGTTTCTGGCCTTATACCAACAGTAAAGCATATGTTGCATTTTTGACTCAAGAAGATGCTCATGTTTTTGTTTGGCATGAACCCCACCTTCTGGGGTGAGAGTGGGTTATGGACAATAAACAAATCCTTGGTAATCAGATTTATCAAAGCTTTGTTTCAGTTCACCGAGACAGGCTGCTTGACTACATTTTTAAGTCCTCCATTTGCAAAAGACTGTCACAAGTTACATGCTTGTCATGGAAAAGAAACTGACTATAAATTAAGAAAATTGTATGAAGATATTTTTTCTAGCTAGTCATGGCATTCTGTCTTTGGTGCAGTGACAAACTTATCATTATACCTCATGAATTGTGGGAGACCAAACACAACACTAACAGATACAGTTTCTGAATTAGCTTGTGTCTGTTAGAGCTGGTAGGCCTATCAACCCAGTACACCTAGATATCCCAGATCTTTTAGCTTTCTATCCTTATGAGGACTTAATTTTGTTTCCTGCTAGAACTGCCACAGAGCATTTACAATAGACAACATGCATCTTACCCAAAATAAAGTGAATTCTATAAAGATCAGATTTCTGAAGAAGACTGCGTAGTTTAAGCAGCAGTTCAGTTGCTTCTGTACAATTATCTGTGGTCACAGATTTTAGCTGAAGTATTGCCTCCAAGTACAAGACAGCTAGATGAGTATGGTACTTTTCCTTCTACAGATGAAAAGAACTTGTTAGCTTAGTTTAAAAAGACAATCCCTTCTCTCCACCAGTAACAGTGATGAATATTTACATAATTATATAGAAAAAATATTTTAAATTATTTAGAGTTACTCAAAGTCTTTTGTTCATGCAGATAGACAACTTACTCAGCCCAGCTTCACAAGATACATTATACCTATAGTATGGGATTCTCTATTTCACTAATACAGCTATTTTCAAAATGTAGGTATAGAGTATCTTATTCCTAACCCCTCTCTTCACCTTCAAGAAACAAGCTCTATAAGTAGCTTTTCTTGTCCCAAAATTATTTCCTTTCAAAAGTTCACCTAATGAAAGTAAATACAGTAAAGCAGATCTCTCTCCTATAAATACAAGTATGACCTCCGCTGTGGCTCCTCCTTTTGTTTCCCTTGTAAAATGAATAACTTTGATGTAATTAATTCTTCCTCATATTCAGGTATGCTCTTTGCCCTTTTCAATTTCTAGTATAATAACTGAGAAAGCCAGCAGAAGCATACAAGCACTTTGAAGGTACAACGCTTTTTGTGTTATTCACTCCCCAATATTCATCAAAACAAGTTATGATTTGACTGTTTGAAACATTCTCACTAAAGCATTCATAATAAAACTAGGACTTTCTAAAGACCAAATCAATTTATAACTCAGCCTTTACCAGCAGGCAAATTTAATTATAAAACATTTTTATGAAAAATATTCTACAAAGAACTGTGTATGTTTGACTCAAAAAGTTTGATTAAAAAAATTCATGACATGGCAAACTAGTACATTCATCCACCATGTCACAAACCTTGACGTATTCGCATTAGCAACAGAAGGGAACCATTGATCTAGCATGGGTATTTAAAAAATGTAAATTAGTGAACTGGTCATCAGTTCTGCTGAGTTCTTTAAATGTTAATTTCCTTGCTTTATTTGCAGTAACTTCCCCAGTGTTTAAAATGTTCCACAGGCAAGCACCAAAGTGTTTGGCTGCATCTGTATGGTAGAATACACTGTCATTTATGACTTGTTAACACATCTTTTGACATTCAAAATCTAGAGCGGTTTGGAATTCTACAATGAGAGGCGCATGGTTTAATTCTATCACTAATTGCTCAAACTTCTCCAGAAGGACAGAATAAAACATACCTAGTAGTAAATGACTTAATTAGCAAGTTTAGTGTATTGCTGCCATAGTGCAATAGGATCATTTTTCCATGGTCTTACCAGATGGAGGTTTGAGCCTCATTGGTGAAAAAGTATGCAGTAATCAGATATTAAAAAATAAAACCCAAATCCAAACCTCTGAGGGGAAGAAAGCAACTATATTGCCATCACAAGAGATGAAAAGTTAAAAATAATGCAGATATCTGCTTCTCATCTACTTTAATCTTAAAGCCAATCCTACCCTACTCTGAGTGCATCCCAAAGCCTTCAAATTATGCTTATTGCTTCTAGACTATGGCTTTTTATCAGAATTGTTCATCAGTCTGCATTCTGAATCTTATGCCTACTTTAAGTATTCTTGTAGGACTCACCTCTATTTTCCTTTCCAATACCAGATACTCTAGATATTTAACACGTGCTTTAGGATATTTGTTAAGGCAACTGATGATATCATCTGGATTAATGCTGTTTTTCTCCTGTTCTTCCAAAGGCCTTTTAGTGAAAATCTGTACACCAACCTAGAAAGAATCGCATTTAGTAGCAACCACTTTATTACATTTTTAAAAAAAATACTTACTTAATCACACTAAAAAATACTTATTTAATCACACTAACAGATTGTTTAGCACATTATTCAGGAAGATAAACACCACAACACCCTACCCAACACAATACCACCAAGATTACATTAATAGGACCGTAACATGATCTTACTCCTATCTCCACTACCCCAATTCATAGTCTATACATTATCCAGCTATAAACCCTGTGTTGGGTACAAAAAGTACTGAACAGATCTGCATAACAGCAGAACGAGAGACTTCGGCCTTTGCAACAAGAAAGTGCAAGTCAGACACCAGAATGCTTACAGCCTTATTAAATGTGATGATATACACAGAGCAAGAGACTTCTATTATGACCATAACAAAAGTTCAGAAACTCGTCATTGCATGTAATAACCGAGCTTTAAATTAAAACAAATCAGGTTGTGACAAGTTCCAGCTGCACAGGTTGTTTGATACAGCAACAGACATCCCATTTAACAGCATACCATACTAATGGATGCGACAAAGCAACTTTTGTAATTCTGGTGGATTAAATTAACTCTTGTAGCAATGAGGTCTCATTCATGTTGAATGAAGGCTATTTATTCCACATCCCAGCGTACAGACACATGACCTGTCCCTGGAATCCTTTAAAAAAAAAAAAGCCAGCAGCAACAGTTAACCTATTAAGCAATTTTCTTTCCCCACCCCCCCCAATCTTTTTTTAAGATCTGAAAATTATTTTGCCTAATATGAAAAAAAAAAAGAAAACATAGACTCATAAAATAGTTAGGGTTGGAAAGGACCTTAACATCATCTAGTTCCAACCCCCCTGCCATGGGCAGGGACACCTCACACTAAACCATATTACCCAAGGCTCTGTCCAATCTGGCCTTGAACACTGCCAGGGATAGTGCATTCGCAACTTCCCCGGGCAACCCATTCCAGTGCCTCACCACCCTTACAGTAAAGGACTTCCTCATATCGAGTGTAAACTTCCCCTGTTTAAGTTTTAACCCGTTACCCCTTTGTCCTGTCACTACAGTCCCTAATGAAGAGTCCCTAGCCAGCAACCTTGTAGGCCCCTTTCAGACACTGGAAGGCTGCTATGAAGTCTCCATGCAGCCTTCTCTTCTCCAGCCTGAACAACCCCAACTTTCTCAGCCTGTCTTCATACGGGAGGTGCTCCAGTCCCCTGATCATCCTCGTGGCCCTCCTCTGGACTTGTTCCAACAGTTCCAAGTCCTTTTTATGGTGAGGACACCAGAACTGTACACAATACTCCAGGTGAGGTCTCACAAGAGCATAGTAGAGGCATGCTGTAGCTGTCTTTGTACAGAATCACCTAAACTTTGTTTTCAAGAAAAAAAAGGCAATTATCACTAGCAATTGTTAAGAGAGAGACTTAAAAGAATTGAAAAACCTGTAAGTTTTCTTCTGTTGATCACTAGCTAACTGGCATTAAATAGTCCACAAAAATGGTCCAAATAGCTATCAAGATGGAACGATGTTACTGGACACCCAAACAGCACTGCAGAGAAATACTGATATTCTGTGAGAAGTACGCTAATTACAAACCTCTTCATTTTTCTGTAAAACCCATTCAAAGTATTTCCACACTAGATCTTGGTCTGAGCAGAACGTAAGGAAGTCTACTATATATTCATAGAGATCTGAACGTGTAGAGTCTTCAATGTCTCCATCAACTATTTTCACCCATAACTGCAACAAAAACACACACAGATTAAAGTGATTAAAACATGTACAAGTTCTTCCAACTCAAAATTTAAGTAAGCTACTACAAAATTTAGTATTATCTACTGGTACCTGTGGAATTAGAGCTCCTAGGAACACCAATTGTAAAGGTCCTTGCTGGTCATGAAATTTATGCCATTACAGGCTTCTTTTGCACCTGCCATATTCAACTAATTTGGACCCTGTATCATGTAGGTTCTCATTCTAAATGACTGACCAAATACTTTGTGGAGGTACGCTAACCACAAAGAAATCTTTTGGTAAAAGTTATTTTCTCCAGTGGTATACTTCTCGTGCATTCTATGCATGCAAGATTAAAAGCAAATGACACAAACAATTGAGAAGAAAACCTGATATTGTGCTCTCCTTTCATTTTGACTCAAGAGCTTTAACTACCCTGTGAGACTGTTTTTATATACATTGTAATTGGAATTAAAAGATGCCACATCTAGTGGACCAGTTCAGCAATAAACCTTGTTCCTTGAAACAAAGGAAAATATCTTGCACATCATGAAGATCCTCACTAGTTTTCTGCTCAGGAAATTACTACTTACAGAACTGACTTGAATGCATTTGACAGTGTTACTGTGATTAATGTACTCAAAAAGCCACACAGTAAGGCAAACTACTTAAGGTATTGGATATGGTCTGAGACATTCATGCTATTTATTGATCAATAATACATACATTTTTCTGGATAAAGTTTTCCATACAGGAAAAACAAAAATGTTTCGTTTGTAGCTTACAGACCACTGCGAGTCTCAGTGACACCAGAAGGGGGTGTCCTGAAAAGGATTAATAACCCTCCTGAAACCCACAGATCTTTCAGAATGTGCTCACTGTCCATCATCAAATAAGGAAACTCTGCTGCCAGTGAGATTACAATACTGCTTTGCTGTGTGCATACAGACTAATCAGCACAGGATATGTTGCACAAGTCGCTCAAACACCTTTTTACATGATCTTTTGATTATTTTAGCGCTTCCGTCAGTCTTTTAAGAGTACAGACATATGTTGTGGTATGCACAATTTAACAAAAGCATACAAGCATCTAAATAGCTGTCATCTTCATTAAGATCTTCAGGTTTTTCACATCTAGCATACTAAATTATTCAAGGAAGTCTTAGCATAAATTTCTCATATATACACATCACTACCTTTCAACCAGATAAATTAGCACCTCAGATTTTTATCATCTCGGAGGTAAACTGGCATTTTGGAATGTTTTACAGATGACACTAAAAGCTTTATTCTAACCTGAAGTGCTGTAGCATCCTGACCATTGTAGTGATACAGGAGACCAAGTGCAAAATACCTGCATATAAAGAAAAAAAAAATATTAAAAGCACTAGATCTTTCCTACCAACTTCATTATGGCTTGAGTAGGACAGAACACAACACATAATTGCTTGCAGTGACATACACACAGCCATGTCTATACTGCAGCAAGTGTCTGTAGGCTCTTTGTCAGAATCAAAGGAGAGAAGTTCTGTCCTGGAAATGTAGCAGTGTCTTCTCCTGTCTCTAAGGCACTTTCTAGTTAATAGTTCTAACTTAAAAAAATGTATCAAATTAGAGCTGGCTTCCATGCCATTCTTTGAATTTTATATACAGATTTAACACAGTTCCAAATAATAAATATTCCTCCAATAATTAATAAGGTGTCATTAAATCAATTTTTTATGATGCTTTTACTTAAAAAAATTTTACTAACAGAAGCATTGTTTCTTTACTGCAGCATGAAATCAAGTAAGGCAAGGAAGAGCTTTGTACAGTGCCATTACAGAGAGGTTTTGTGTACTGTAATAAAAAAAATACCCGAACATCTGTAACAGCTGTTTTCATGGAACAATGTTCTACCCTTTACATTTCCAGAAGTTTGCCATGCAAGCCAAAGGTACTAACAGAATTTAACAAAACATCTGAAATAAATGAAACTACCTTAAATCTAACAACAATTAAAGACTCTGCCTCACCACTGTAGTTGCTACTCTTGTACCACAGTTCAAAAAGATTAAAGAAACTTTAATTTAAAGACAGAGAAACTGCCTATGACTGGAGTTTGTATTTCACACATTTACTATCTAGTCTTTCCTGCTTAATGACAGTCAATTCTCCACCTGCTGGCATTTCCAATTTGAAGTCATGTGTAGTCATCTTAAACAACTTCCTTGTGGCGAAGCAGTGGGAGCAGAGAAAGTATGCAATTCAAAAGATCTCCTTCTCTGAATAAGCAACTACAATTTTAAAGCTGCTAGCTGGTTAACAGCTTCCACCTAAGGTAATGCATGCTTTAAGGCATCACTTCATTCTGTCCGAGTACCACTACCACATCAATTCAACTCTTATATCACCACAAGGGCAAACAAATATTCCCCCCCCCCCCAAATTTCTAACAGTCCTTTATGTTTGTGTTGGACACAGAAACTTTCAGGGTGAACTTTATATTTAGCAGCATAAGACAGAACGCATTTCCTTTACCTCACACTGTCAATTCATACCTTTTCACCAGCATTTCAAATGCTGGTAAGTCAGACCAAGTTGATCTTTTGAACCTGAAAGCACAGAAATTACAAGGATCTGAACACACTGCTCTAGAAGCCAACTGCATTTAAGACAATATTCCCTCTGGTGTCAAAGGTGCAATACTCAAAAAAATCCACTCACTTTTTGTGTTTTTCCAGCCAGGCAGCACTATCTGTTAAAAGACAAAAGTTCTCCGAAACTAGCAGATCCAGCAGGCTTTCATGATTTGCCTCCGCATATAGCTTGAGTAGAGCTGTGTCAATATCTTCCTTGTAGCCATTTGCCACCTCAGTACTGCGGACTTCATTCAAATAACTCATGAGGAACCGTTTGCATTTTGTCATCTTCTCCTGGTCCCCTTGTGTCAGCTGGTTTAGGTCCGCATACTCATGCAGAGGGGGATGAGACCGTATAAATGAAGAGGAAGTAGGCAACAGGAAGGGGTAGAGAGAGATCAGCTCCCGGACATCAAGCTGGCCGCTTCTGCAATTACAGTGTCAAACTAGATGAAGCAAAAAGAAAGAAAAAGTATACATAGGCACAAAAAAATAACATACTGGGAATATGTGCTCACATATGCTTAGAGTCAGGACACTAACAGGCTGTCAGTTTCTAAAGTTAGTGCCTTCTATGCTGGAGAAAATATATTCAGAATAAATCTGGATTTCTTTTTTCTATTTCTATACAAACTTGTTTATTATTGTTTCTCCTCCACTAGACATTGAAAGCTCTGAGAATTAGGAGATGGGCCAGTGATTTGCTTTTGGCATCCCACAGCTGTTCTGTGACATATACAAAAATCAGCTGAACAGCCTTAGTGCAGTTCCTAGGACTGTCCTAGACTTCATCCATACACTATGGGAGCTAGTCTTCTGATGGAGGGAAGAAAAAAAATGCAGAGTGAACCCTTTCAGGGAAGCCACAAAGACTGTGCAAGTGTAATTCCGTAGAGAACATCAGCTTCCTGTAGAAAACTAAAGCTTTCAGAACACCTTTTTGCATGATGAAAACCTTTTCCCCAACCCTGAAATGTACCAAATTCTTCTGTCTCATTTCTTAAGGAGTTTCTGAAAATGAACCATGGATGCTTATTATGCATCCACCTAACCAGTAAGTAGTAGCCTACTGTACAGGCATTGGTCTTGGGCATCCATCTATGTCAAATACTATGGATTGGCTTTTCCACTTCAGATGTGAAGGGGATCTATAATTCATTCAGGAGAAAACTGTAACAGATATGTTACATGAAACATTTTTCTTTCAGCCTAGATAAATTTCTCAAGCATTTTTCTGTCATGTGACAGAAGAGTAAAATAGGAAGATTTTCCACACATGGCAAAACTGCCCAATTTTCTCAGCTAGAATGACTCTTCTTCCCAGGCCTTGCTTTAGAAGAACAGCAGGAAATCAGGATTTGTATTTTATTTCACTGTCACAGTCAGTATTCAGAATTCATCTTTAAAGATGAGCATTCCTGAAATGCAGGAGATATTGTTGTGAAAAAAATCAAAATGAACTAACAGTTTTCTGGTTGGTTACTATCTTGTTGCAAATATCACTTCTAAAAAATAGTTCGAATCTATCCCGTGATCAACAACCTCAACATGATTTTCCCTTCACAACCTTAATTGGAAAGAATTAAAAAAAAAAACCAAACAAATTATAACCATGGAAGCAGATGAAGCAGCAGATTTCTGCAGGCAATAAAGTGTGAATGACCTTCACATGCAGACTCACCCCTTCCCTGCTGTTATAAACTAATTAAAGCAGTGGGACATGCCCAGAGTTGTTCACTTTCTGCCAAAGAGAGAGTTCCAAAACCACCCAGGAAATATCGACTAGTAGGAAGCACTACAATGGCAACACTTACTTACAACTTTTTAAAAAGTAAATAAATACTGTTTTTTGGCTACAAAAATCTGTAACAAGAGAATTAAATTCTGGGAGACAGCAACAGCAGGTTTTAAAGCAGCAAGTAACCTGTTCCAGCACCTAGGGACTGCAAAGCATGGGGGACAGCAACACAGGCAACAGAGGACCACAACAGAGAAGTTATGAACATAGGAAGCCTTCCTGTGAGAAGAGGTTTAAATAGTAAGCTTTTCTGATTCCTACACAGAGCTCCTACTGCCTAAAAACCACCTCTACACTAGAAAGGCCACCCTCTAACCAAGAGTAAAGTGTTCATGTCTAATTATGATGGAACTCAAAAGTAGATGAGGACTTTTTTTTTTGGTTTTAGGGGGAAGAAGAACCAAGAAGTAGCAAGTTCTGTTAATGGCATGACCTGATGGTTCAAAGACCATTTGGGCTTTCGATACGAACTTGTTACAGTAATCTAACTACACCTTTGGCTAGTTCAACTGCTTATGAAAGTTTAAGGCCTGAGGACCACCAGATAAAATATATTAATAAGAGATATTACAGTAGAAAAACAACCCTAAAGAAAGATTATTTTTTACCTCCCTCCAAGATTCTTCACTGAACATCAACAGGCTACTCAAAATTAATGCAGAAGCAAGGAATCTTGGTAAATCCACAGAAATTCAAGTATAAACAATAATTCCCTTACTGCCTATGATGTCTAGTATTTGGAGATGGCCTAAGCTTGTGATAGAGAATCTGACCATGGAGACAGATGAAGAAATACACCAGCAGACAAGCAGAGGCGTTTGCATAGATTGCCATTATCTTTCCCGTTTTTTGTCTGAGCATCAGTAAGTCTAGAACAAACAAGATCGTTTGAGTGTGTATCAGGGCATAACCAGATATTACTTGAACTGGGTGCATTCACCAGGGCTGAATATCTGGAAACTTTGAATCCATAAGGAGTTTTTCAAAGTCACCAAAATACTTTGAATAGTTTATGTACAGCTGACCAGAAGAAAAGCACAGAAAACTTGTATTTGCTTCCTCCCCCCTAGAAGACTTCAGCAATTCACGAACAGTTGCTCTGTTTTGGAGTTGCAGCCATTAGAGGAAAGGAACATTCTGGAATGCTGACTCTGCTTCAAAATTCATGCCTGGACAGAACATTTTCTTGTGAAGCATGCTTCTTTCTATAGAGAACCTCTCACAGTTCTGTTCCTTGAAGGTCATTTGTCAGATGGACTGCTAGCTGGATGGAGGCTGCATAACTGATCTTGGCTCCTTCTACAAGGAGCTGGAGCTCTATACAGGATACATTTCCCCCTTTCGCTGCTTTTAAAAGATCCTCAGCTGCTACCAGCAGATGGGGCCCCCAGATTAGACCCCACAGGGAATTATTGCCAATCAGGGTGGAATAAAGTGATAGGAAAAACCGTTTGCTAGCCATAGTCAAGACAGCTGCAGAGCAAAACGAGTTTGGCCACCTATGATGGAAGATACATTATAGCCAGTACAACCTTGACAAGTTATTTTACCAAAGCTGGCCACATTGAGAAAAATGAACAAAAGTGCACTGGAAATCCCTATGGAAAGGCTTTATGGCAATGCTGTAAAGGATTCCTAACTATGTTCAGCTTGTAGTTCAGATACACAACACAGCAGCGATTCAGTCTAGTGTCTGGAAGATTACAAAAAGGAAGAAGACGGCAAGTTGCTCACTACTGCCAAAAATTACAAGGTGATGCAGAAAGTGGTTGTGGCCAAAACAGATTGCCAATAAATGCTGCTCATGCCTGTCCTGTCATTCCCTAATCTTCACTCAGTGTACACTGCCCATTCAGGCCCAGCGTCTCCCATTATCCTGGTGAGCAGGAGGCAAAATGGCAAAGTGCCTCATCAATAGTAACATTTCTCAAACCTTTAATTTCCCCGATACATTTCCGTAAACTCAAGGACACCTTTTTCCTACACTGTACAAACTTAAAATGTACAGCAAATAGTCTAGCCTTAATCCTATTCCATAGACTAAACTGATTTAAAATGAATTTCAGCAGATAACAAGGAGAGTTATTTCATGTGGTCGGCATGGATTACACTAACTCTGCACAGCACCCTATCACAGAATGGGGCGCAGCTAGCAAAAATGAAATTATCAGGTAAAATAAAGATAACTGAGTACCATTTTTTGAATGAAAGCGGAGAACCAAGGTCAATTTGTAAATAAAGTGACTGCTGAAACAGCTAAATCAAGAGGGTTAGTACACACTTCAAGAGCAAATGGAAAGGGCCTAGCAGAACAAGTATTAAATTCAGTATCAGCATCCTCAAAAAAAAAAAAAAGTAACTCTGTCAATAATATTTAAATTGCAGCCAATATTTAATATTTAGATTTCTTTTCCTAAAGGGGAAAAAAAAAAAAAGAACCAATCAATGTTCATGCTGTAAATCACAGCAGAGGCTCAATAATAAAGCCTTGAACTTCATGGGCATAAAGTAAAAAAAACTTTGCTACTGTATGTAGTATACCCCCCCCCAAAAAAAAAAAAGTTGCATCAACTCTTCAGTTATAAAACTAACTCAATGTTACTCTGTTCTTACGCCTAAAAAAAAACATTTTATCATAGTGAACTCATAACTGCATCATAAAACATTCAAGCAACTAAATTTTTAAATCTAAGAACATTAACTCCTTATTTAAAGAAGATAAATAAATTTCTTGTCAAACAATTACCTGAAGAGTTCTTTTGCTTCAAGGAACTGAAGCTGTGCAAACTGTATAAAACCTGCTTGCTGCAGGATTCGTTTGTACATTACCTATGAAAAAGAAGGGAGAGGGAAAAGGTTTATTATTTTTGTAATGAGTTATTTATGTAGTGCTAGTCACTACTTCAAAAACTACCTGCCAAAACCACTGAACATACAATCTTCAAACACACCTGTCAAGTTACATGCAAAATAAAACCTTGATCCTCTACATTTTAAATTGTATGTACCTGAATATGCTGAATCTGCTGCCCAGACTCAATTTCATACACAACTGTGAACACAACACTGATACCAAGCTCTTACTAAAAGCAAAGTCAACAAATTACAAGTTCAAGTTTTCTTATTCAAATAATCACTTATTTGACACCAGATTGACTTGCCTCAAGTTTTGGCTTGTTGCATTTGCAAACACTGAAGCCTATAGTCATCCTTAAGGTCCCCATGATTCAGCAGGCACAAAAAATAAAATTAACTGAAAGATGGTCCCTCTTGACAACAGAGAGCCAACTTCCTTCCCATCTCATTTCAGCAGCAACTGAATCACAGCCTTGCTAGTGATTCTCATAGTCTCATCCCCAGCTGATTACCATATTTCTGACTTTCTTACTTTTGATTTTTCCTCTTTTTTTAAGTAAAAATATTTCCAGGTAAGTTCAACTTCTCCAATGTGCAGTACGTTATGCACTGTACATAAAAATAAGGTTAAAAAGAGGAGCTCAAGTAAAACATACAAAAAAACTCTCTTATGAAGTTTTACTGTTAAGGTCATGCCTAGACGGAAAAAAGTTTACAAGAAGTTCACAAAACTACTTTAAACGCTAGGTATTTATTTAGTCTGAATGGTCCATTAGTTAAATGAAACCCTCATACCCAGAATATTTCCAGTGGCAAAGTAGAACTACTAAAAGCAAGGAACCCGAAGTGTGCTCTGCAAAGTATCCACTATTTGTGACAACACTGATACTTTGCAAATACACCTAGCTCCCTTCACATGCTTCAGTTTTCCCCTTCAACTTTCTCATGAATATACAGCTTTCTAATGTTTAACAGCATACATGAATTCTGTTACTAAAAACAGACCCCCTTTTCAAACACCCAGAGAACTGCAATAAATTAGCAATGCATTCCAGGCAGGCATTGCTGAACAGTCTCAGGCAGGGTAAACTGATACTCTAATTGGCAATTTTTCACCTTGATTAAAGATTATGGATTTACCAAAAGAAAAAGCTTGCCTTAAACCCACTTAGTTTGTGCATGTTTTACTATCCTTTACCAGCAGTTTGTCTTAAGGAAATACTTAATATTGACCATTAGCAAGCCATTAAAACCTACTGATTTGTAAGGCTTTGGGACTTTTCTTGTCCCCCAGTGTGGGGGAGTGAAGGCGAAACTGGGAAAAGTTACCTGGCACACCCTTTCAGACAAACATAATATAAAAATAAATGAATAACACTAAAGACATCTTTATATTAATGTTACTATCCCTTACATCCAAGTATACTAAAGCTAAAAGGGAATTTAATTCCAGTTATAAAGTAAAACTACCTCAGGTGATTAATTAACAAAGTATCCAAAATACTTTGGCTATACGACTGTGTTATTACATCAGTAAACAGTAATCTGTGAATGGATGAACACCTGTCTGGTCACATTCTTAAGGATGATGGTAAAGGATTTCAGTCTGCAACTATCTGTATCTTATGGCACCAAAAGAACTTCAAAACCTGGCATTAGATTTTCCCTTTCAACACAGGGAGGGTTGAAGTACAAATATTTCTCACCTTGCTAACCACTACCAAAGTAGAAATTTTATTTTATTTTTTAACTCTGCAATTAGGACCACTAATATTTACATATTTAGTAAATTACGACATTGGAATGAAGTTTGAATTGATCTAACACACTGTAAATAATGCTTTAATTGTAGAGCTTAGTTTGTACAGCAGCTAGAAGATAAAAAGAGCTTGTTGATACTATAAGCCCAATGAATCTGTTTCAAATTTGAACTGATTAAGTGGCATTCATCTGCATTTAAATGTTGCCATATCTTCATGAATCCCTTAAAGCCACACAACAACAACAACAAACCCACTATAATGTTCATAGACACTTTCTCAACATTTTAAAGATGCACTGATGGGATAAGGAGTAAACAGGTTCATTTTTAGCCAACAAGATAAACACTAGACATTAAGATGTCCTATGGTAAAGACTGTGGAAGTAACAGACCAGACTGCCTGTGAAAAAGTCAATATTCTCTCTCTCAGAGGTTTTTAAAAATGGGCTAAACCTATATGCCAACCACACACAGTTAACTGTTGTACACGAAAGAAAAAACATCCTGAGTTATTCCACACTTGTTTGCCAGAATAGCTCAATAGGCTTATTTTTTAAAACTACTAAGTTACACCCAGTGAAAATTCAACACATTGTTTATTCACCTAATATTTTTGAAGAACCACCATAGGACTTGAAGTGCTTTATGAAAAATCTATATTGTTGACTGAATTCACATTAAAAAAAATAGCTACAAAACCATTAAATAAGATTTATATTAATTTGTATCTGAAAAAACACTAGAGAACAGGAAGATGACTACTGAAGCTATAATAGCTATAGTGAAGCCTTTCTAGCCTTTCAACTGCTAGAAAAAAAAAAACAAACTAAAATGGTCAGAATTGCCAATTAGATTGCCAAAAAATTTTTCTAGAAAGACACTTTGTCTTCTGGTCACTTTTGGGTGCTGTTAATGTTTTTTGAAACTAAAAAGAAATAAGGGAAAAAAAAAAGATACCTATGCAAGATGTGTGTCAATCTAACCAAGGTCTTCACTACCATCAACCATGATTTCTGCAAACTTCAGCTGTCCTGAAAAATTAATAAGCAGTATTCAGTCAGTTCATGGTAGCATGGTAGAAAAGCCTTTGTATTCTTCTACCAAAAATGATATCCAGCAAAGCCATCTCCTTGCAACACTTTTGGTTAGCCTTTTTTTACCTAGCAGTAATTCCCAATGCTCAAAGTAATTTTCATTTAACATTGCAGAGATAAATTTGCAGTCTGCAGGTACCACTGGTTAAATAACATATTGGAGGTCCTACTGCATGATCTGCTTCTTTCCAGTAACTAAATGTTGGCTGTACAAACAATTCTGAGAGTACAATACTTCACTGTTTCAGTCCCACTATCATTCTGCATTACCACCAAATATATCTATATATTTATGCTGATATAAAGAGAAGGAGCAAGCCCCATGTGCATGTATGCAATGATAATGCAGTATTGAACTGCAAAAAAAAGAAAACCCAGGTTGTTCCAGAGTCTCTCTTAGGAGTTAGAAAGAAGTGACTATGTGATCAGTGAAAGCATACTAAAGAAATGTTGCAAAAGACACATGTATGGCATGTAATTGGGTTGAACTCCATCAGATTTATATTATGTGAGACTACAGTAAATAAAAGTCTGATGTGCTTGTAACTAACCTGTAATGACAGCATTGAGTATCAGAGGCCAGCTCAACGTGTCACTTTCAACTAGATAAGCTCTGAAAAATTGGACTAATATCTCAACAATTAAGCCAAGCTGAGTCAATTTAATATGAGTCAGTGGGAGACTCAATTTAAGCTGGTTAATCTCAGTTTACAAATACAGACTAGAACAGGCTACTATTTTGCTTGCAAGTACTATGTTTTCTGTTTTTCAGCTGTTGCACTGACTCAAAGCAATTGAACACCCTTAAAAGTATATTAAGTTAGCAAGAACATTTAATATTCTTGGAAACAGTAATTTAAGGTAGACGGACGTTGTGCCCGTAAGACACATATGAACATAAAGTAAATTATCAGACAGAAAAACCCTAAACGCAAGCAAATTGAAGAGGAATGAGATTTTACGTCACATATTTTAGATAATGAACTGCAGTTCAACCTGTGGTAAAACACAAAAAGACATCTCCTACACTAAATCTACATAAACTGGAAAAAAATAATGGGAGAATTACAGGTCATCATACATAGAAGACATTGATTAGAACATGCATTCTGTCCTCACAGCAAGATTTATTTCTTTAAACAGATGTATATGAAAAGTTGGAAGTGAAGATGCAAACCAAAACATGCTGGAAACTGAATTCTGCATTTGCCTAAATACTTTTAAGCTTCCAGTACTTCCGGGTAGCTGGGTACTTCTTTGCAAAAGGATGGGAACATCTTTCTCACCAAACTTTTTACTTCCAGCAGCCTACCCAGCTGTTCATTCACCAAACAAGTTAAGGATAAAAATGAAAGCTGACACAAATTTAATGTAATGACTACCTTTCAAGGGCTTGACCAAAATTTAAATGACAAGGAATGAGAATCTTCTTGACATTAAAAATAAAAAAAATCCTTACAGACTGAATAATTTTGAACCACTACAGTTCTACAATCACCGCAGTTACGTTCCTAACTTTACATCTTCCTAAACAAACTGAAAACAGATACTATTTCAATGGTAACAAAATGCTCCAACAACTGAACTTAGTATGAGAGAAGCACCACATGGGATTTTCTATTACTAGTTTTTCAGTTTTGTTCTAAACTGTTTTCAAGTTACACACATAAAAAAAAAAAACAAACAACACCAGCAGAACTGCACCGAACTCTGCCAATGTCATAGCCTTTACAAGCACTACCCAATTCAGCAGCATGTCTATTTCATCAGGCTGAAACCATAAAAGGTATTAGATTTCTCTTCTATGTAAATTCCTCCTCCACCTTCTCTGGTCACTTGACCATCATATACATGGTCCCTCTATGAGAATTATGTTTTCATGAAAATTAAAGGAAGGACAGACCTGAAATTTCTCTTTTGGAATATTCCTTCGAGCTCCTTTTGCTAGAACAAGGGCTTCTTCCACTCTGTGGCTGGCTAGAAGATCCTGAATCTGTTTTTCCAAAGGTAGCGGCACCAAGATATACACTCCCTTATTAGTACCAACAATCACCTTTCCTGGGCAGAGAAAATGGACATATTCAGTTTACATTCTTGACAGAAGCCCTCTTCCCCACCCCTGCTTTCAGAAATAACCTTTAAGATTTACTAAGATACAAAAACCAGAATGGTGCTAAAGTTCCAAAAGCTCATCTCTTGCTATCGTATTTACCAGATAGTATAGTTTACCTGTAAACTGCACCTCAGAAATACAGAGATAATGGTAAATTTATTTATTTACAGATGATATTCCACTCTGAGTAAATGAAAGTGGCTATAATCTCTCATGATGAACTAAGCTGTAAAAACTACCGCTGAAGCTACTGCCCAGATTCCACAGCACAGAGACTTTTCACTGCCAGATATTCCACAGGCTTACATTATAAAATTGTAAGCTGTATGTCAAAGGTAGCAAGTAACATACATTTCATAGTGCTAGAGCTTGTAGCTCTCCTAGAAAAAAAAACAGAAACGGAATGTATTAAGAGTCCTTAATTGAAGAACAGATCAAAAGAAATGTTTGTGTTTTTTCTTTAACAATTCTTTATGAAATGACCCATTTTAAGCCTCTTACACAGGTATTTTAGAAAGGAGTACAGAACTCTTTTAGGAGTTAGGTTAGACCTTTGTCAGGACAGCCAATGGACAGATACCTGTAGCTCACAGTTGTTGATTCATAAATTAACATTGCTCCTTGGAAAGAGATAATCAAGCTATATGAAGAAGCTCTAACCCCCCAGACTCCTACCCAACAATTAACTTGACAATCAGAGCACATTTAATGAGCATACGTTTTGTTAGAAGCATGAAATTTTGGATGACTAAAGTTTTCCTATCATAATCTGCAGGAATCTAATCAGGAAAGCATTTGCAACAGAAGTTTTAACAACTAATTTTTAACAGGTGCTTACTAGATACTGTGTTTAAAACACAAACTAAGTGACTATGCCCACAGCAGTGGTTGTTCCAGAATTACTGATTCAAAGACCAGTCATTTTTAATACCTTCAAAGTCCTGTAGAATGTGACCTTCTTTAAAAGGGAGGGTTTGCTTTTGCTGCTGGTCCAGCATGCTGTGCACTGTAATGAACTCATCATCGAGAGCAACTACGTAAGGAAAGCACAAAGCTGCTCCAATCACATTCTCGGACCAGTGCACAGGGGCACGCTGTGAAATGCCATCTACAGTTGCAAACATGCCTAGAAAAAGGGAAAAACAAAGCCTGAGTATTGTGCTGATTGAAGACTGTTGCCTTTCCAATATGAAGCATGGGTACCGAGGTACAGAAATAAAGTCTCAGAAGAACAAATGCAGTGTCAGGTGGCATGATGACAGCACATCACACCTGCTTGGACCACACAGACCTGTTGGTTAGTTCAGTTCAATTTTTTCTTCACCACAGAAACAGACAACACCAAGAACTGAAGAGAGGATTACTGAAAGAACTAGCAAGAATTTTCAAGTTAATTAGGTTCCAAGATTTTTTTTTTAATAAGAGTTATGCCATGTAGCTTGAATTCATTTCAAAACACTGGTATTTAGTCAGACCCAGCATTCAAACAATACTGCCTTAGTGAGAGCTTCAGAACTGCACTGCCTGACCTATCTGGCAATACAGGCATATTTGTTCCTTGTAGAGTCAAATATCTAGAGAGCATTTTAGTTGACAGCCAACCATTTACTTGTCAATTCTGAGTCACTTCCTGCGAGGCATCTGTGTTTTCAATCATTTGAAAAGAATACAGAGGCTGCATGTAAAGGTCTGTCCCAAAAGCCAAGTGCAAAGTAAAGACTTAATTAATATCCCAATGATACCTCCTATGCGGCCTTCAAAATAACCACATTAAATCTTCAGTTAATTTGTGGGTTTTTTTTGCCACTATCTTTCCTCCTGTCTATTCTGTCCTCCTTCCTTCTCCTGGCTTAATAAGAGTTTGACTTGCCTTTGGACAATGGGCCACTGGTCCTATTCTCCAGTTCTTTCCAAGACATTAATAAAAGAAAAACTCCAGTCAAAGTTTTTGGGCCTAGTTCAGTAACCCTTTGCCAGCTGAGCCACACTGAGGCATGATGTAAACTTCTGTTCTAAACATGAACACATATTCCTTAAAAAGACATGCCATGAAAACTCTTTGGCATGAATGAGCCACTTGACAGCTGGTAGAATAAGCCTGAGCTCTAAAGGACAGAGGAGATTAAAAGATTATGTTACTGAATTTGCAAAATCTCTTCCAAACAGAGGATAATGAGGCATGGGTAGTTGGGCAGAAGGACCGTCTTGGAATTAAAAACAACAAAAAAAGAAAACATAAGGCTGTAGATTTTTACAGAACTACAGTATAGAGACTAAGCTTCTGGATCCTTTATAGCAGCATTGAAATCATCAGCCCCTTCCCTTGACTAAGGGTGCAACAGACAAATAGAATTTCACATCTAGCTATTAGCAAATAATGCTATTTGTGTTCTCACTGTAATGATCAGCTTTTCACTCAGAGCACCTTAGAGAAAATACTTTTGTTTGGCTGTAACATATAATTCCCAATTTACTCGACAGATTTCAATATTCTTATGGATTAGAGATGGCATTTTATGCCAGACAGACTGCACTATCCATTTTTAATGCTTTCCAGTTGTTACTCTGTGCTATAATCCCATTTCAAAAAGTGGAAGAAAATTTGAGTTAAACACAAACTAACCAGCAGTAAACTCAAGGTTAATTATATTTATTATTTCTTAGAATTTTCTATTTCTCTGACATTCTCAAAAAATTTATAAAATCCTGATTTTAACACCACCTTTTTCTCTTTTTTTTTTTTTAAATGACAGAGCTTTTTTTCAGGTAATATGAAAAAATCCATTACAGAAGTGAAAGGGTATGCAAAGCAATGCACAGTATTTTTCCAAGTTAACATCGCTCTACATTCCTCTGCCTTCAATAGCTGGTGTTTCTGTGGCAGAATGATGCACTTTCTCTCTTCACCCAGTTCTCACCTAAGGATAACAATACACTTGACAAATACAGTCAGAAGCAACGGCCTTTTTACAGCACAAGAATGCATTTGATTAAATAGATCAAGCCAGTAATCATTTCTGTATTAAAAATGCATATACTATCCAAAGGTTACAAGAGTTATCCAAAAGACAGCTACATTATTTTCAGCATCAAGACATCTAGAAATTTACAGAATCATAGAAGAATTTAAGTCAGAAGAGGTTTCTGAAGGACATTCAGTCCAGTCCTATCCCCTCCCTTAAAGCAGGGCCAACTTTTATCAGGTTTCTCTGGAATTTGTACAATAGACTGTAGATTTTATTTATTTGCTTGCTTTAAAACAGAAAGATTCTTCATGTAAATATCTGTAAAAAATGAAATAACACATCTTTATTACTACTTGGTTAAAAAGGAATATGAAAGCTTTCACTTATCATAAAAGTTGACAGCATAAGGAACACTACCAGTGGCTGAAAACAAGAAGGGAACATGCTGCTTATTGTTGACTACCCTATTGTTGCTTTATGCAGTGTCATCAGCTACAAGAAAGGCACTGCATAACCATCTATGAATCGCCCTCCTTAGTATCTGTGTGCTTGTCCTAAGTTATAAAGCTCAGTTCTCCAACTCCATTTGTATTCTACTCAATCACTATACAACTGCTCAAACCATGCACCACTAAGGAGTTTATTCTGGAAAAGCAGAAGGAATAAACTAAAATTAGGCATTTAAAATTTTATTTTTTACTTATTAAAGTTAAGGAATATTTGAAGCAGGAAGGGACCTGTGGAGATGGTCTAAGCCAACTTCCCTAAAAGCAGGGTTAACTAGGACAGTTTGCTGAAGAACTCACCCAGTCAGCTTTTGAGTATCTCCAAGTACAGAGACCACACATCCTCTCCGAGACCCATTTCCTGGTTTGACCATCATCACAATGAGAAATTTGTTTTCTTGTGTTTATGTAGAATTTCCTGTATTTCAATTTGTACAGACTGCTTCACATCCTTTCACTGATGAGATACCACAATACCACTAACCAGAGTCTAGATCTGTCTTCTTTACACCCCCGCTCTCCTCCATCCATGGATCCTTTCTTTTGCTCATTTAAGACAGGACTGAGTACATTTGTTTTCTTCCAGTCCTAAAGAATGTTCCCTGATCATCATGATCTTTCAAAGATAGAGAGTGGCCTCACAGTGACACTGACCACAAACTCTGAGCATTCATGGGTGCATCCCATCAGGTCCTATGGATTTGTCCGTCCAGTTTATTTAAATGATCTATAACCCAATCCTTCTCTACTGGGGGCAGGTTTCTGTTGCTTCATGTTTTCCCCCTGGTCCTAGGGGCTAGCTGAGGATTCCTGAAGGAAGGCCATAAAAATAATCACTGAGGTAAAGGTGGCACTAAGCACCTCAGCCGTTTCCATGTCTTTTGGCACCAGGTCTCCCACCCCATTCAGCAGTGGGTATCAGTGGCCTTCCTTTGCTGCTGATATGTTTCTGGAAGCTTTTTGTTGCACTTCAAGGTGCTGAAAGTCAATGCCAGATGGACACTGGTCTCCCTAACCCTATCCTCACATGCTTGGACAGCGTTTGTATTTCTCCCAGATCACCTAGGCCCTGCTTTCACTTGCTTCTTTTGTTATATTTGAATTTGGGCAAGAGCTGCTTGTTCATTAATGCAGACTTCCTGCCACTTTTGCTTGTTTTCCTGCTGATTAGGATGGACCACTCTTGAACTTGGAGGAGGTAGTCCTTCTCTCCAGGACCATATCACAAGGAATTCTTTAAAGCAGGTCCCTGAACAAACCAGTCTGCTTTTCTGCAGTCCAGGCTTGTAGTCTTTTTCCCTTCTGTCAGGACCCTGAATTTCACCATCTCATGGACACTGTACCAAGGCTGCTCACCTGACCTTCACATTTCTAGCTAGGTTCAACAGAGCACATCCCCTCATCAACTCCTCAATCACCATTAATATACTCCAGAAATCTCCTGGACTGCTTGTGGCCTGCTGTGCTGTCCCTTTATCAGGTACTGGAACAGTTAAAGTGCTCCCTAAGAACTAAGGCCTACAAACGTGGGTTTCTTCCTGCTATCTGAAGGACTTACCTACATCTTCCTGACAAGGTGGTCTGTAGCAGACACTCACCACAACACCACCATGTCTGCGTTCTAGCTGTCCTGCATGAACTCTCAGGAGTTGCCTCCTCCTTTGACCCAAGGCATGCCACCACACTCTCCCGCTGCTTTCATGTGAAGAGTAACCCCTCAGCTCAGCTGTTAACATACAGATGTGATGATTTCCCAGAAAATATAAGAGAGCTTTCACCATTACGCTGTTTTGTAGACTTAATGTGCATATGCCTGAAGCAGGGCCTCTTCAGCCCTCCCTCTTGATTACAAAGACTCTCATCCACATCATCCTGCTCTCTGCCAACTTGGCCTACCACCACTGTTTCCTAGTTTAACTCCTTCTCACCAGGTTGATCAGCCTGTTGGCAAAAATGCTTCTGCCTCACTTGGTCTGGTAGATACCACCTCTTCCTTAAATCTACAGCCATAAAAGCCAAATCCCTCATCACCACTGATTGTGCAATCATACAATGACCTGCACGGTCCGCACACTCCTCCTCAAGCTGTTCTTCCTCTCCAGCAGGCCTGATGAGAAAAACCTCATCTCCAGTATCAGGGAGTCTCCCACTATTACTTGCTAATTCCTCCTACTGCATTGTACAGGCTCAGAGGATTTGTTGGACAGAGCTTCCTGCTTCCCATCTGCTTCTAAGCACTGAACATATTTTATAGATGCAGATCTGCAGGCAGAGAAGGAGAGTTCTTCCCTTTATGGGAATTCACAAGTTTCTAAGCTTTGCCACCATGGAACACACAGAAACAAAAGCCTGTCCTTTCCTCAGTACAGCTGGGGTTCAGGCTCATGCCTGGGTCTCGGAGAAGACTGTTTCCTTTTTGTCATCCCTGGTGTCATGTACTCTGCTGACGTCCTCCTGCATCTCTTTTACTTGGAAACAGAAATCCTTAACCAAGCACACACCTCCTGCAGGCAAGGACAAAAAAATTTCCTGTGTCAGAGTCTCAGCAAGAGGCACCAAGTGCTCCCTTCAGTTCAAGCTCTGAAGAGCTGCACCCTCCTGTGGGAGATTGGTCTGAGTTGAGGCCTCTGACATTTTAGGACAGTTACTCCAGCTGGTGCTAGGAAGCATGCCCTGTGCAAACATGCAAGAACTGCTTGAAATTTTAAAACGGCTCACCTGCTGAAATTTTAAAAACTTGAAGCCTCCACATGGCAAGAAATCTGATCAGAAACATGCAACAAAAGCTTCATAAAATGAAAAACTGAATTTTGGTAAGCACAGTTTCATACATCAGAAATAACTCATTTTCAAATCTCAATGAATTACAGGACTGAAGATGCATCAAAAATTAAGTTCCTCGTCCCTTGGAAAGACTGAACTATATACTATCTCCAAGTCGAGAAAACCAAGTACCAAATGGCTAAGTCTATGGATCAGCTATGAACAATTCTAACCATCAGTTTTAAATGCAGTCCAGGCAAGCAAAAAGGCTACATACCCAAGAAACTCAAGAGATATTTTATTTTATGATTACCTTTTTAAGCAATTGCTTTCTGCATTCTAAATTTCAGTCTTAACTCAAAAGCAGATTAATGTAAATAAATGCCACTTCAAACACTGTAAAAGCAAATATATTAATGCAGAATACACCCACCTCAGTAAAAGAGGTTGAATTTAGCATAGGTGTTCTACCAAGTGCCAAATAAACACGCCTTAAGCAACAAAATGTACAAAAGCAAACCAAAATTAGAATCAAAGATTTATATCAAACGTTTTCAAGCAAATTCACTTTACAGCAGAGCCCTACCTCAAATGCCAAGACACACAATGCTTATATACTATAAAGATGCTCAACCATCTTCACAACTTCAAAGAGGGAAGTGTTAAAGACACTAAGAATTTTACTGAGGAAAAACTGAAAGATGGGGAGGGAATAAAGAACAGCTGATTGAACCCCCCCCCCCACAAACCCACAAGCCAAATTAGGCAAGGAAAAAAACATACAATCCATAGCAAGAAGTCTTTGTAAGGTTTCTGAGCTAGAAAAAAGGGGAAATTTATAGCCTGTTTATAGCTGCAGAAGTGCATTTGTTTAAGATATCACACACCTGACATTCTAACCCCAGGACAATCTACTTACACAGGCATGTTGGATTTTGAGACTAGAGGTCTTACTGTATAGCCCTCTTCCAGGACATCAGATTAAAGTAAAAGTCAGACTAAATAAAATTCTGCTTTCTGACTAAACACATTTACATTTTTGAAAGTATACCTATTCTTCTTAAATCAAAAAAGAAACTAATCACTTGACCAGAACCTGGTTTGACATTCCTGAAAAGATAAATACAAATGGAAGTAGGAATAGGATCTCCTTAGAAACATGTCAAAAAAGAGTACTTTTAGACAGTCAATTCAGATTATAAATTTCACAGCACTACTAAAATAGTTAATTTCCACAAATATATGTCCACATTTAAAGCAACTAACAGTTTTAATATGAGGAGGGCAGCCAAGATGACTTGGAAAAGCCCCACATCTGAAAAAAATCCTCAAGTTAATCTTGGAATATCTTTAATTTGCATAAACTGATGTTCTAATAAGTCTCCGATTCTTCAGAGAAAAACACACTGGTGAGTTGATGTACATCTCATATTCTAGTCACAAGGCAAAACTCCAATCACTTATTTATATTACACTCTTACTTTTCTTTAGAATTTATATCAAAAAGCCTAAACCCATGCAGATCCCCGAATTAAGGGCTTAAATAGTTGTGATCTTTGTGCCACATACTATTCCTAATGTATCAGGGCAGATACATAAACTGCATCTCCTACCTGGAGAGTCATATGGCAAACAGCATGAAAGCATTCTGCCTGTGGTCTGTCAGCTCTGGGGTATTACAGCTTTTCCCAAGAGAAGCTCAAGAATACTGAGCTCACAGCATATTGTTTATTTAGACAGATCACAGCAGCAGTAGTCTATCATCTATGTATTAGAGAAGAGCATTATTCTGCATTTTGCAATATTAAACTATCACCTTCTGTAATACATAGCTGACAAGTACTATAAAAAAATTAAGCAGATGGGAGCATAAAACCTGGGTAGTATCTGCCAAAATCTACAGTTGGGACAGAGTTTAGCTCTACAGGAGTTAGGATACAGTCTACTTCCACTGACATTTCTACTAGCACTGTAGCATGACATATCTATTTGTGAAACTGTTACAATCTATTAAATGGACTTCCTATGAACTCCTCTGAACAGCAACTGAAGAAAAAATAAATTCATCTACACTAATTTAACGATTTTATAGCAACATGGGGCTCCTCAAACCCAGTGTAGCCAGTCATTGCAGAAAGGCTATCAGGCTCTGAAGTACCACTTGGTACCAACCAATTTTTTTTACATTGGGCTGCAAGATACTACTACTATTAGTCACCTATGTAGAAATGAAGCTTTCTACAGACACAATTAAAATACAAGTAACCAGATTTTTGTGCCTTAAAAAAGCAGGGGGGTAATAATAATACTTAGTATCCAAGATTTACTATCTACCTACTGATCTTAATGTTCCAGTACAGACCTGTGGGAAAAAAAAAAAAAATCATTATCATGCACAACAGAATTAGTTAAGCTTTGCTTTGCAAATTGAGAGAAACTAAGAGAGAAAAGACAAAAAATTGGGAAAAAAAGTGACAATCCTTAGTCTCACCTAGGCCTCCGGGGCCAGCCAACAGAAACTCTTGTCTGCCTATCCTTTTCACAATTGGCCGTTTCTCATCACTGCAATAAGGAAATAGATCCTGGGAGACTCCAGTATTATAATTCAAAATTATATACTGTGTAGTAAGCGCAAGACACAAGTAATAACCATCTACAGCCACAGCACAGGGTTGCTCTGGAGTAAACACTTCCTTCACTATCTGGACTCTGTCTTCAAACACCATGAACATTTGGATGGTCCGTCGCTTGACTGAGATAATGCAGACTTCGACACAGAAAGGATCCCCACTCACAGGGTTTTCATTTAATGTGAACGTCACAGCTCCTTTGATTCGAGCGCCAGTGGGGACAGGTTCCAGGTTCATCATGTTAACTAGTGTTATTGTATTGTCGCAAAGCACAAGAAGCCTGGTGAGGGCAGAGGCTGCTTTCAACTCACTCACAGGCTTCTTCAAGCCCAGGTATTTATGTAGTTGCTTGGTGGCAGCAAAAGTTATTTTTCCAGCTGTTGACATCTTTTCATCCAATAGAAAGTGATAGATAAAGCAGTCATTGGTTCCAATGTAGAGGTTCTTTCCGCAACACTCAATGCATTCGATGTTGATGTAATTTTTGTCTCCCATTAACATCTCCCGCTCGACAGCAGAAACGAGCTTGAAAGCTTTAACACTCATTGTGTCTTCTGGGTGATCTGATTAAAGAGAAAAAAAACCCACTATTTATCTCCACACACATCAAATATCAGAGGCAGCAATTTAAACACCAATACAAAAACTTCACTGTTGCAATTTTCAATAGTCTATACTCTATTTCCAACCTGATTACACAAGCCAGAATGAGCACATTAATAACAACGGAAATTAATCAAATTGTAATGTTTCACTTTGAGTCTATCCTGAGACAGATTCAGAACAGCACCCAGCTATTCTGAAGTGATGCTTTCTCCACATGTAACCAGTATATTATTGTCTCTCTTTGACACTCTGGCACTACAAGTGCTTCCTGGCAGTACTTAAACGATTTATAAACCTGTCATGCACAGTCTTCTATCACTTATACATGAAAACACACAAGCTTCAGCTCTCAGATTTCTAGAGAAGCCACAAGGTATTCAGCATGATGAGTTAACATCTCATGTTAGGCCTCAATTTAGGCCTATTAGGACCTAGTCTCTTAGCATATGAGTCAAATGATATATTTATCATAGACATTTTAGCACATACAGTTTACATTCCTTACTCTTCAGCAATCAGAAATATGTAACTTCCAAGCCACTAGAATAGTATTAGAATTTGTTGGCTCGTGGTTGTTTTTTTTTTTTATAATAGCTGCAAAGTGTCTGCCACTTACCTATTCTCTGTATCAGACTTTATAAATGTAAATGTGCTTTACAAGCAACAATTCTAAAGCACACTCATACAAAAAATTTGGAAGCATAGTCCATAAAACATTCATTAAGCTTGGGATTCAATGTCACAGAAATTAAGAGTTGTTCTGTTCTCTACCATCACAACCATTCCAGAAGTCTGCTTTTAAGTGCTAAGCAGCACTTCTAATATTCATTCTACAAACTATACCCACTCTTTTGCAATCAAGCCCTGCCAAGGGACAGATGCAATTTATGAAGCAATTAATAGTGTTTTAAAACCAGCCAGTGTAATTTTACTGTACTCCAGACTTGTGTTATTTTTATAAGAGATCAGCAGACAGCTGTGCTCAACACTCCAAAGAAGAGCAGATGAGAAACTGCTGGCCTTGTTTAATCACCTTCTAATTTGTCGTGACTGGTCTGAAACAACAACTTATCCAACCCTGGGGAAAACACAATACTAAACATCTTGAATGGATTTAAGAAATAACATGCACAATTACTTCCAGTCCACAAGGAAGATGGAGATTTAAAACATCAAGCAAAATTTCTGCAGACCAAAAGAGACACCAACATCAACAAAATGCTGTTATGAACATCCTGAAACTAAATATAGTTAAAATTAATTTCGTTTCAAATTATTATCTGAATTATTATCTGAAAACTCCCTCTGCCTTTGCAAAAGAACACTGGAAACCATGGCAAAATTTTCTAGGACTGAGTGAGAAAAGGTAAGGTACACAAATCACAAGAAAATACTAAATAAGATTAAATCAAGCTAAGAATACAGCCAGAAGCAAACCATGTTATCAAGAGGTAGTAGCAATCTTTTATGCCAAAAGCGTCACATTTTATTTTTCAGAAATTAAAAGACTTTATTTCAGTCTTCCACGACATTTTCAAACCACATCCTCATCTGCGGTGTATATCAGCGTTCTGACCTTCAACAGAAAAAAAACCAAACCCAAACCTAGGAAGTATTAGAGAAATAGCCTCAGGTAAAACGATAACGCAAGTCCCTGGGAACACAGTCCTGATATCCTCCAACATTATCAAAAGAAACACAGTGTATTAAGTTAAAAAGGGCTGCCCAATAGTTGATCAGCAAAAAAACCCCAACCATTTCTAAGACCTTGCGTGTAGCCTCAAGTGATAAACTAGAGAGGTTAGGCAGCTTTCATACCTAAAGCTGTCAACAACTTAACATTCCTGTAGCCCAAGGTAAAAATGTTAATGTATGCCATTGGGAGAACTACAGAATTCTGCTCTTGACCAAAATGCAGTAAAAACCTCCCAAAAACATAACAAAGAAAGACGAAAACTAAGAGTATAAAAGAAATCAAAATAGACATGCAATCCATGAGCAGAAAGAACAAAAAAACCCATAGTACTACATAAATCTGTAGCAAAGAAACTAAAACATTCATGCTAGAAAAAAGCCGTGAAAAAGGCTTTTAAAAGTCACCAACGTCAATATACATAACCTGTACGTGATTTTTTTATTGGTTTTGTTGTCATTTATAAGAGTTCAGGGCCTGCACACATGCAAAGAAACAGGTTCTGCAGAACATGCTGTTTTTTGAAAGTGCAAAAGCCTACTCCACAGTTACAAATGGAAGTCACTATGCTATTCTTGAGCTCCAGGAAACAAGATCATGGGTTGCTTGTTATAAAAAGCTAATCAACAGCCAAGCAGATTACTAGTCTACTAGATATTGTTTTCTTAAGTGCACCAGTAATCCTGCACACTCTTTTCTGATAAAAAGCAGAAAGCAACTCTCCCCCACTTGCATTAGGTAAAGTCTTGCTTTGCAGTCACGTTCTGTTTGTTGCTGCCCTGCAAACCAGCACACCGCCTTCTTTACCTCTGCATCGCTCCCTTACGCACACGTACTCCTACACGCTGTGTAGTTAGCAAGCGCTAATTAACCCGTGAACATGGCTCCGCAGACCCGAGATACTGGGCCACGCTATTCCCGGGAGGACGTGCTGCGCTTCACCCCGTCCCCTCACACACCCGCAGCCTGACCTGGGGGCGCAAGCCAGGCCCGGCGTCCCGCGGCCCCCAGTACGCCTGCCTCCACCCCAGCAGACGACAGAGTCGCTCCTCCCGCTCTCCCTCCCGCAGCACCTGCCAGCGCCAGGCGCCGCCACAACACCGGGAGCCGGGCCCGCCGTTTCGAGGCGGTGCGGTCCAGAGCCAGCGGCCAGGCGGGCGGCGCACCAAGCCGCGATATCGGCGCGCGGGGATCCGCCGGCGAGAGCGCCGCTTCCGGTGTCGCACAAACCCCGCCCTGCGCCAGCGGCGCCGCTTCCCGGAGGGAGAGAAGCAGCCGCACCAGGCAGGGCCCTTCCGGTCACGTGTGTGTATGGGAGCGCCACCGGGAGTCAACTACTGGGCTGGAGGCTCAACGAAACCCCGCCCATGGGAGGTGTGACAGGCGTAGGGCGATGACGTTACGCAGCCGGCAGGATGGGGCTCGGTTCTGATGTCCTCCCCTCGGGCACCGGTTTCATGGCATGGCATGGCAGGGCGACGGCGGGGAACCGCGGCCTTGCGCTGCCCCTGTGACGGGGAACCCCTTCTCTGAGCCGTCGGGCTGCAGCCGGCCTAGGGCTCGCAGCCGGCCTAGGGCTCGCAGCCGGGTGGCGCATCCGCACCGTGGAAGGACGGCTGGAGGGAGCCCCTGTGGTGCGCACAACGTTCGGACTGGGGACGGCCAGGGGTGGCTGTTTGTTGTTTCCCATCGCTGTAGGACCGCTACGGGTTGTGGCCACAGGGCAGGTCCTTCCTGACACAGGCGGAAAAGCAGCTCTTCCAAAAGAAATCAGAATGTAACAGTGGTTGTGAGTGGTTTGGGAGGGGGAGAGTGCAAGGAGGCGGGCGGTACACACTGCCAGAGCGCAGCCTGAGGGGCACCACGTGACATAACGTGTTATTACGCTGTTTGTTTGTACGCTTAAATGAGTTTTAGGTATTCAGAACTTGTATTCATATTCTCGGAAGTGCTGTGTATAGCAATGATGTTACACATAGGGTCATATGTATGCAATGTGTTCTGTGTGTATGTTTTTGTTACGTTACTCAGAATTGCTCCTCCTTCTTACTGCTGTGAAGTGCATCAAGTACTTTGAGTTACGTTGCAATTTCATATTGTAACGACAGCGTGGTTAATTTACTAATGTAATCGTTTCTTAATTCCCCCTTCCGCTTTGAGTACATAGGCAGGTTGCCAACTCAAACGTGCCGGCAGCTACTTTACTTTGGAACTGCAAAGCAGCTTTAGTCATTGCAGCTCAGGAAGTGTTATTAGTTGCTGTTGTCCAAAAAGTGCATTTGAAAGCAGGTTTGTGCCTGGCATGCAGTAAACCAGCTCCACAGGCTCAGGAGAGATACTGTGTTTATTCACGCCTGGTTGCTGGGTGGACTGTTCCACAGATCAAACGCACCAATGCTGGCTTTCTTGTTACGTTTATACACAACAGTTACAAGATGGTACACTCCCAGTGTTGGTTGTAATCTGTATGTAACGTTTGCTGTGTCACTCATTCTAGTTACTCTTCATGCTCAGATGAGAGGCCTTCACCTGGGCTAGGGTCTTTCTGACCTGGGGGTGTGATTTTTAGTATAATAATGAAAGCAGTTCACTTCAGGACACCTTAAAAGTTGGTTTCATTGCCAAGTTAGGTAACCGAATGGTCACTTTGCCAAGCTGTCAAGTAACTCATCCTTTAGTACTACCAGTCCTGAATGTTCTCCTTTGATCCTTCAAACACGACCAGGATGTAGTTGTGCCAATGAGATCCTTGTTGTTTTGAGAAGGTCACTTCATCCCAGGCCCGAGCTGTGTAACCATGGCTACCAACGACAGGTACACAGCATAGCAAGCAATGTATCACACTGCTGCAGCTGTCACGGACACTTTTAACCCAGCGGCGAATCCTGACGTAACCTCTCCGCGCCACTTCCTGCGCCAGCCCCCGCCCCTCGCGGCATTGTGGGAAGCCGGAAAGGGGTCGCGGGGGAAGAAGATGGCTGCGCGGGGAAGGGACAGGGTCGGAGGTGGGGGCCGCGATGGCATTGACGGAAAGGTGGAGCGGGAGTCGGGGCGTCCGGAGTCGGAGCTGCTGCTGCTGCACCCGGAGCTGCTCTCGGAGGAGTTCCTGCTGCTCACGCTGGAGCAGGTGCGCCAGGGCTCCGTCGGGGAGGAAGTCAGGCCCTTAGCAGCGCGTCCTGAGGCGGGGAGGGGAGGCCTCGCTGCCCTGCGGTCATGCTTGTTGTCCTGACCCCCATTCCGCCGCGTCACACCTGCTCTGTGTGTTTCTCCTCTTTCCTTCACAAATAGGCGCGCAAGAAGAGTTCAGGGAATAAACAAGCAAAATCCAAGTTGGTTGTGTAGTCTGGGTACTCGATTAGGGGAGGCCCGTGGTGTGAGGTGTCTCCGGGGCTGTGTTTGAACATTGCAGCTGATAAAGAACAACTTTCTCTAATCTCTGAATGTGAGACAGTGTTTGCATACAGTAAAATTTTCTGTGGAAGGGTGATCATTGTTATAATTGCCACGTTCATACCCAGTGAATTAAGGAAAGGTGTCTTACAAAGTCAGTCAAGCTACTGCTTAAGTATGCATAACTGAAAAAAAAACGGAGTTTGGAAGTGAGTTATAAACAGTTTTGAACCATATGAAGCTTCAGTTGATGTGATTTGGAATAGTTGTTAGATCCTTGCCTGAAAAGTTTAGGTGCACGAAACAGTAGTAATCAAAGTCTTAATTTTTTGTATGAGCTCGCTGAATTTTTGTCATGTAATTTATGTAGACAAAAATGTACAGGTTTTAGGTTGACATCAGAAGTCACAAAGTGGTGTCAAAACCAATAGTGGCAGACATCACCTGCTTTCAGTGACCTCTAGTTTGTAGAAAGTTACTGGGATTTTTCCTCTTTTAATAAATTTGAAAGGAGGTAGCAAGAAATTTTGTTTTCACAACCCTATACATGGTTAGAAAGAAAATTGGTTCTCTGTTGTGCCTGACAGTTGCTAGAAATCCCCCTTCTTTGGGATCTAGGGGAGGAAGCATCTCTACACTTTTAATGCATTTTTTGAAATGCAGTATGTTTTACTAGTTTGGTTTTTAGAAGACTGAAGAGCAGTACTGTAGTTGGATTTAGGGAAATTGGATTCAGGGAAGTGTGCTAAAGAGTGTGTGAAAACATCAGTCATCAACAGAATGTCCAACGTAACTTCCCCCCCCCCCCCCCCCCCCCCTTTTTTTTTTCCCCTTCTATTTTTATTGGAAATATTGCAGGGTTTTGGTTAGGAAGGGGCTGGAGAGTTCACTTGTGTGGGCAAAGGCAGTGTACTGCCCAGTACTGATTGTAGGTGGATCTAGCTGTCTCTGACACTGAGAGAAACAGCCCATCACACATTAAAATTTCAAGCCAAGTTGGTCATGGCAGCTGTGCTCAAATGCACTTAAAAAAGAGCTGCAGCTACCAGAGGCAGGAGACACAAAAGGACATGCAGGAAGAGGCACGTGGGGAAATATGTGAAGAGATGTGCTTGCAGGTGGTGGAAAAAGAAACCACTATGTACTGACCCAAATATCTTTCATTTCCCATTGACTCAATGAAGGAAGGACCGAGTGTAATCCACATGGAAAACGAAGCTGACAGTAGGAAGGAAGGCAGCAGATCAGGCTGTTATTGGCACAGGGCTGTTCATGGCCTCTCCACACTGGTCACCTCTGTAGTCCTGTCACTTCTGAAACCCTGGCATTTGTACCTGGTACACTAAAGTGGCTTTTCAAAACAGAAATGATGCCACTAAGATGTTTATGCTTTGAATTTGTCATAATAATGACAACTTTGTTGTTGTTGTTGTTCCCCACAGAAAAATATACTAGTTGAAAATGATGTAAAGATGGATAAAGATGGTCTCACTGATCTCTATATTCAACATGCCATTCCTCTGCCTCAGCGTGACTTGCCAAAAAGTAGATGGGGAAAAATGATGGAGAAGAAAAGACAGCAAAATGAGTTTAAAAGTGAGAATAAAAGGTAATTTAGCTTTTATTGGGCTACACTTGCAGAATTTAGGACAACGCAATTAGTCTAATCTTTGTTTGCCTGATTAATGAAATTTGTACAGCTTTTGGACGTTGTTACAGTTTGTAGAGATTGCTGTCTCAGGTCTTCTGGGTCAGAACTTTTAGATTCTACTACTGCCCTAACAGGAAAAAAGGGAAGGTGATCTTTTTTGTCATCTAAATGTTATTAATGGTAGCTGGATTATAGTGCTTTTCATATAATCATAGACTAGTTTGGGTTGGAAGGGACCTTTAAAGTTCATCTGGTCCAACCCCTCTGCCATGAACAGGGACATCTTCAACTAGATCAGGTTGCTCAGAGACCTGTCTAGCCTGACTGTAAACACTTCCAGGTATGGGGCATGTACCACCTCTCTGGGCAACCTGTTCCAGTGTTTCAGCACCCTCATTGTAAAACATTTCTTCCTTATATCCACTTTGAATCTACGTTTTCATTTAAAATCTTTACCCTTTGTCCTGTTGCAGCAGGCCCCACTAAAAAGTCTGTCCCCATGTTTCTTATAAGCCCCCTTTAAGTACTGAAAAAGCTGCTGTGAGGTCTTCCCAGAGCCTGCACTTCTCGAGGCTGAACAAGCCCAGCTCTCTCAGCCTGTCTTCATAGCAGAGGTGCTCCAAGACCCTGATCAGCCCTCCTTCTGGACTCACTCCAATAGGTCCACGTTCCTCTCGTGTTGGGGGCCGCAGAGCTGGACACACAACTCCAGGGGGAATCTCAAAAAAATGGAATCAAGGGGCAGAATCTCCTCCCTTGACCTGCTGGTTACACTCCTTTTGATGCAGCCCAGCATGTGATTGGTTTCTGGGCAGGGAGCAGACCTTGCTGGGTCATGTTGGGCTTTTCATCACCCATCAGCCCCAGGTCCTTCTCCACAGCCCTGCTCTCAAATCCCTTCATCCCCCAGCTTGTATTGATACAGGGTTATTGGTACATTTCAAGGTACTTTATAGTGAAGAAAAAAAGAAGTTATTTTGTTGTTTCACTATATAATTGTTAAATAATAATATTTTTACAGTGCTTAAGTAAAGGGTCAAAATCATGTTTAATTATGCTTGTTCCTTGGACAGGGATGGTCTAGAGTCTGGGCTGTATGCTGCAGCAGTTTTGTGTCCAATTCAAAACTAACATCTGCCTTCTGAAGAACATTCTGCTTTATTTTTTAAATCTTTGTGTTTGTATTTGATCAGAAAGCAAAATCTTCCTTAGAAGTTTATTTTACTAAAACGTCTCTTCCCAGTCTTCCCCCAGCCCAGGACTTTGATGTGTGATGCACATGGGTGGAGTTCTGGTTTAGCTTCAGTAGTACATCCGAAGTAAAGGTGGATAGAAATTCTCATAGTTTTGCAGTATTACAGCTTGTTGATTTCGTGGGTGTGTCTTAGCTTTACTGAGGTTTCTAACTGTGAAGAGCTAAGCAAATTCTGTCAAGTGGTTGATTTGCTTGTTGTTGTTGGTTTTTTGTTGGTTTTTTTTTAATGTTAGCAGTGACTAGTGCACTGAGTTGTCTTGTTATGCTGTTTTGTTTTTTTTTTCTTTTTCACGTGCATGAATGTTTATAGTACCTCAGTTTGTTTACAACTTGCAACATGAGGATAAAAGCACAAGGTTAGTGTTTGAATAATGAAAAGAGCTGTTGGTGTGCCAAAATAGGTGCAAAAGAAATTTTTTTATCACAAAAGGAAGATAGTAGGCTGGATGCTTTTGAGAGGATGAAGCAATCTTAATGTTCAGGTGAGAGAATGGCTTCATCCAGTGTTTATATGTAAAATAAGTTTAGGGTCTCTTATTTTAGTGCAGTAAAATTCAGTAATGGTTACCTATGCAGCATTTTCTGGGAAAGTAGTAAGTAAAAGGAGGTATGTTTACCAGTCTGCTTTTCTGTACCACTTGCTCTTACCATTTAATATCTAGCATACTAGGCTTAGTCTTTTGCTCTGTTGTTAGGTAGTTTTGAGATTTTCCAGCAGTCAATATTCCTGCTATGGTTGTATCTTTTATACTTAACATGTTGGCAAAATACTGTCTAGAAAAGTTAAGCTTTTATTGCTAATATTACTAACTTGAGAGAAATGGGAGAAATAGACTTTCAGCAAGTAAAAGTTGCACTAAGAAAACTTCAGTTTTAGTATATTGACAAAGAATTAAGTTCAATCATCTTTTTGGATATTAAAGTATTAGTTTTCCTCACAGTTATGTGTACTATTTAAGCAGAACTGCCGTTTGTGCAGAGGAGGAAGTAGAACTTGACATTCATGTTTTTAAAAGGAAAATAAAATTCCTAGGTATTCTGATGCTCTAAGTTATGTACAATTCAGAGGTAGGAGCTAAGCGTGCTGTTAATTCAATTTAGAAGTAAGGTAAACTGATTGCATGAACAGTGGAAGCTTTCTGATGAGTTCCTCTGTGGAAACCGCAGCTTTACAACATGCACTGAAATTAATATGAGGCATGGTGGCTTGATCAGCACAGTTCAGTGTGTGTTTGCATGCTTCTAGGAGTCGCAGATAAGAGGTAAAAACAGATTGAAAATTGAAAGTCAGTGTTGCATATTGTTTAATTTTACTGCTGGTAATTGATGGCACATCCTAAAAGATTTGCTGTATATCAGCTGAGCTGCAGTTATATACCTCAATAATGCTATCAAATATCTGAGGTCACAGATGGTGGTTTATACATCTTATTACTGAATATTAGAGCTTGCAGACAATCATACCAAATAAAACCAAATGCAGTCTCTCCAACTTCAAACATTTCACAAAGTATTCATGTTCAGGGACAGTTAATTTGGAAAATCTATAATATCATCTTCTCTGCTGGAAGAAAGAGGATGGTCTGAATCTCAGAATGTGTTCTATGTCCAGGCCAGCTCAAAGTGTGGCTACAACATTTCTCTTGGATGTAGAAGATGTGTGTTGAAATCTAGGTTTCACAGGGAGTGTCCTGCCACAGGAAATAGGATCCCAGAATGTTCTTTTCAGCTGTTGGCCAGCAGCAGTGTCCTCTCTCAGACAAGTGCTGGCTAACATGAGTCCTGCTCTGAAGCTTTTAAGCTGCCTGTACTTTATATAGAGAAAGGGAATGTCACAACCAAGGTTCTATGTTCTGTGAACCATGTAGCTAAAAATGAGATGTGACAGTTTTTGATGGTACAGCGTCCAGAGTTCTTTTGGAACTTTCCCAAAGTATTTCTCTGGGAATATTATCAGTATTGTAGCATGTGGTCATTTATACAAGTGCTACGATTCTAAAATTCAGTTCGGAATAGATAGTGATCCTCCCAGAACTGCAGTTAGTTCCTGGCTTGCCAGTCTTCACCATGCTGAATTAAAAACCAAACAAAAAAATGCACCATCACCAACAAACAGAAACAAAATCACAAAAAACCTCCATAGGAAAAGCAGACTTTTATTAGACTTTTGTTAAGGAGGATAACTGAAAAAATGCATTAAATCTCTTCTTTCACATGAAAAGCTAGTTCCAAAAGGCTGCTGGGGAAATGTGTCCTTGTCAGGAGTGTTGAGTAAATTCTTAGACAAACCCAAATGAGCAAAATGTATCATGTTTTACTTTTGAAGTGTGTGTCACTTTTTAGACTTTTCAAGTGAAAATATGCATCATATCTGTTAAATAGGGCTGTTTCGGTAATACTTAATCAACGCAACTTGCCTGGCTGAACACTCCTGGTCCTGACAAGGGCACATTTCCCCAGCAGCCTTTTGAAACTGCATTTGCTGTAAATATAAGCCAAAAAGTTGTGTCTGATCTTTTGACAAACAAATTCCAAATGAATTGAAGGTCTGTCTTTGTCTCTGTCAGTTCCCAGAAGTGGATGAATAGAAAAAGAGGAGGATTATGTGACATATAATGTTGTGAACAGATAGTAATGTAGAAGCAAATTTGAATAAGAGCTGAACTTTCTCTTGCTCTGTGAGCCGTTCTTGTAGGTAAGGTGGCATATACTTTCTCAAATACCTTTTAAAATACTTAACAGCTATTGTCTCTTTAGTTATTCTCAAATAGCTACAGTAGGATAAGCACAGTCTTTGGTCATACAACTATAATTGCCTCCCTAGAAAGTTCCTACAGAGCCCTCTTTGCTAAGGAGCACTTCCTCACACAATCCGCTGCTTCCCTCCCTTCCCCCTTTATATTTTGAAAGCAATCTCCGTTGCCTAAGTTTAGAGTAGCTAAGAGTTTAAGGTTAGAATTTTGGGATATTTTTACTTTAGGCAAGATTAAATTCATATTTCACTAGCTGTGTCTTTAGTATACTGTTTTTGGATCATGTAGCTTGTGTTTCTGAGAACTTTACAATTTGTATTTTCAGTGTTACAATGGCAGAAGGTTTAAGGAAACGGCCATTAATTGTGTTTGATGGCAGTTCAACAAGTACAAGCATAAAAGTGAAAAAGACAGAAAATGGAGCTGCTGATCGCCTAAAACCTCCTCCAGCTGGAAGCACCACCAACACTGTTAGAAGATTATCTGTTCCTCCGAATGCCGCAACGTACATTTCAGCCTCCAGTTTATCAGAGGACGCTAAGCTGGGAATGAGGAATAATGAGACTAAGCAGAACAATATTTCAAAGACTAACAGCAGTATGTTGGCTAGTCTGAAGGTGTACCCCTTGTCTCCAGTAGCAGGAACTACTGTTGTGAAGTTAAAGAGAGCTGTTCCAAAAGAAGAATCTGATTTGCCGGTATGTACATTGCTTTGCAGCTTTTTATTCAATAGCAACTTGCAGGAGCCAAATGTAGACCCTTGTAAGAGTCTTCAGGATTATTTTATTTTGGAGTAATAGCAGAGTTTTGTTTAGAGACGGGCAAAAGAGTAGCTGGTCTGGGAAAGATTAAAAGGAAAGAAATTAAGTATTTTGTACTTGTACATAGGAAACTTCTGAGTGAGAGGAGCAGTTTTGTAGAAAACATATATGTATGTAACTTTAAAATGAGTTGGTAGGTAATACTTAAGGTGGTGCTGGTAGCAGTCAAATAAAACACAAAATAATCCTACTGGCAGGTCTGAGAGAGAGAACAGATATTACAGAACAACATGAAGAGCCTTAGAGGGAGGACAAGTGGTCTGTTTTTTGTAGTAGGGAAGAAAAAAATGGAATGATAACATTTGCAACAATCACACTTGAATGGTTGAGTAGGACAAGCTTTCATTTGTCAGAGTGAAAGAAAAGATGTTACAGGATCTGAAGTGGAATGCTGAGAGCTGTAGAATATATCCTTAGAGGAAGAATGCCATCTGTTTTAAATCTCACATAGGAATTGGCAAGCTAGAGGAAGGAACTGGATATGAATATCTGGAGAGCTGCCTGGACTGTGGGTCTGAATGAGAAGCTGTAACAACAAGCCGTACTAACTGAAGTGAGAGGCTAAATGTTGAGTTCTCATTTTGAGCCATGGTGGTCTTAATCAGGTATCTGGGCTTCTGTAAGATGATGAGAAAGACAAGCTGAGGTCTTGAACAGACTAGTGCTGTTCTCAAGTAGATGGCTGATGACTGAGCTGTTAACCATGAAGGTAAATAGTTACCTTTCTTTCTGCAAGTTAGATTCAGCTGCAAACAAATTTCCTGTAGAGAACTACACTACAGCTGGGCGCAGAAGGAGGCCAGTGAGTTGAAGTGATGAGAGAAGAGCTAAGGCCAGATATATGAATTCAGCAGGGCATATCTTTGAAAGTGTAGGTAATTGTGTTCTAGCTGTCAGCTGCAGCGAAAGATAGAACAGTGGTTGTTTCTGACAAAGGTGTAATTAGTCTTTTAAGAGCTTGTCAGTGAGCAAGGAGCAATGAGCTATGTCCTCTTTAAAACATGCCATGAGGTAGGGATAAGCCTTGCATTTGTCTTCTGTTTCTTCGTGATGCAAATGAAGGCACTTTCACATTTCCACTGGAGTATGGGACTGTCTGGAGTAAGTCTGGGCTTCAAAGGAGGAGGTATTTCTGTCCTCAGTTGAGCTGCAGGGGGAGCTTTAGATACGCAGTGTGAATTACATTGATTAAAATTTTCTCAGGTCATCAGACTTCTGTTTTCTCAGTATTGGGTCATGAAATGCTTTCTATTAATTTCTCTCTCTAAAAAAAAAGCTTTCATGAAAGAATGCAGGTAATATCCTTGCTGTGTGGATTGGTAGTTTCCCTCAGACTTCTGTTAAACGTGAGCACCTAAACATATGGCTGTTCTGAAGAACTTTTACAAGGATCATGGCTGCGGCCCTGTGGCAGATTTATGCTGAAGAGGTGTGTTTCCTACTTACCAGTATCACTAGCTTATTTTAATACTTAGGACTCTTTCAATTATTGGTCAGATCTGAGCCCATAGAGCTTTTGAAACTTCTTTAGTATGCACCTCCCTGCTGCTTTACATTGTATTTAAATGTTTTGTAGACATAGTGATGAGCACTTTTAAGTGATTATACATCTGACACTTAAAAGCTATGATCCCTGACACTTTACTTTCTACCTTATCCACAGTTCTTGTTGTTCAGGTTAATACCGGTAAGTTCTTTGGTTAGTGTTGGTTAGATATGTTTGAAGTTAGGCAAGTGTATTGTATGGATATTACTTTACTGTCTGAAATTAACATAATACTGAATAATAAGTCATGGAGCCAGGAAGAGTCAATGTACTTGGCTGAAAAGTGTAAAGCCTGATATATTTTTTAATATGACCGTAAGGACAGTTGCCTTTTCAAGCAAGTGACTGTTCTTTGACTGTCAAGATAAACTGAAGTTCTTGTACTGACTAGCACAGAACTGTCTCTCCTTAAGGTCTAATTCCCTTAAACCTTTCAGTGGTTGCAATCTACAGCATTGCTGTAAATAAACATTGAAACTCTTACAGAGAAGAGAGATCTCTTGATTGTGCTCCCCAAACCACTCCTCTGCAGAATCATAGATGTTAGGATTGGAAGGGACCTTAAGATCATCTAGTTCCAACCCCCTTGCCATGTCTAGACCATGTCACCCAAGGCTCTATGCAGCCTAGCCTTGAACACTGCCAGGGATGTGACATTCACTGCTTTTTTGGGCAACCCGTTCCAGTGCCTCACCACCTTCACAGTAAAGAACTTCTTCCTTGTATCTAACCTAAACTTCTCCTGTTTAAATTTGAACCCATTACCTTTTGTCTTATCACTACAGTCCCTGATGAAGAGTCCCTCTCCAGCATCCTTATAGGCCCCCTTCAGATACTGGAAGGCTGCTATTAGGTCTCCACGCAGCCTTCTCTTTTCCAGCTGAACAGCCCCAGCTTTCTTAGCTTGTCTTCATATGGGAGGTGCTCCAGCCCCCTGATCATCCTCATGGCCCTCCTCTGGACTTGCTGCAACAGCTTCATGTCCTTTTTATGTTGACACCAGAACTGCACACAGTACTCCAAGTGAGGTCTCACGAGAGCAGAGTAGAGGAGTAGAATGTTCTTGAGAACTCATATACCTCTCTTTACTCTGCTTGTGTGAACTGTTAAAGCTGCAATTTCTCAGGATTTTTTTCTTATGTTATATGGTGAAAGCTAATTATTTCACCACCTCAGTCTCCCATTGTTTTACTTTGGGCTTGCTTGATTTTTTTTTTTTTTTTTTTCTGGTTTCTTGGGGTGGGTCTTGAAAGATGAGTTGATCTGAGACTTTGGCAATTATTTCACTTTTTATACTGATTATTACAAAGGAAAAAGCACCTTCCCCTTTTTCTAACGTTTTTACTATTTGGCAGAAGTAAATTGGGTTTCCTAGTTGTGTATGTGTTGTTTTTTTTTCTTAGACCATCCCATTTCAACAAGTATTTTAAGAAGGCAATCTGATGTAAACATAGAAGTATGTTTAGAAACTCCAATATGTGCCTGTCTTTAGGATGCATAATTGAAAGATACTTTTGGATAACTAATTGTGGGATTAAGAAAAAACAAATGATGTATGTGATTTGCAGATAATTGAATTGATGTGCTTTATTTCTCTTTAAAGTTGTGTGATATTTAGCGTTCTCCACAAGATGGCAGTAGAAAGCTGTTGTAGTAGCATAGAGGTGCCTCCAGCCATAGTCAGTGTAAAATTTAAATACAGCAGGTTAATTTCTAACTTATACTTGCACAGTATATCTAAGAATACTTATATATTTTCTTATATTCCAGAGTGACCTAAAGCCTACGGAAGCAAAGAAGAAAATCCAGCATGTTACATGGCCATGAAGTAGCTAATGGTGCTTGAAATATAAGTATTACTTCCATATTTTCAAACAGATAAGTTGTATTTAAACAGTTGAAGTACAATTCTTTTTAAACCTTACAGGGATTCAGATTGCTGTGAAGTTTTAATGACTTTAAAAGTTCCCTGTTGTAATGCTGGGGTCATTATCACCAGTCACCTTAAAAGTGTCTACTTATGTACAGCAAGTAGCTCAGTATTTCTTTAAAAGGTGGTAATATTACAATGTTCTACTACCAGCCCCCCCCCCCCCTTTTTTTTTTTTTTTGTTTTGAAGATTATTATAGTTCATCTCTGGCATGTCATTCCAATTCACACCTAGAAATACATTATTTTTGTTTCAGTAAGATTCAGTTTTGTTCCACTTATGGTCAAATAGTTAAAATGGCTATTGAAATTCAGAATCATCCCAAGAGCCTTCTTGACAGTAAAAAGATAACTCATTTAGATGAGGAAACTGACCATTCTGCTGGTAAGATAATCGGAGACAAAGTGTTTTCCTTTATGTTGGACAGGAGTGTAGAATTTACAGTGCAAGTTAGATTGGTAATAAGAGATGAACTATTTTAACAGCATTACTTCAAATTGAAGTTTCTCTTATTGACATATGAAATAAGACATACACGGATGGGAGTATGCTACTAGGCTGTTTGATATGGATCTTTGAGAGGAAGTAGTGAATGGATTAGTGCCATTTTCTCTTGAATACACAGGCATATTTTATACATGCTTAAGTGCAAAAATGTGTCGATGTAGCAAATTTGCTGTTCTCCTGATTACAGTCATGCTTATAAAATGTGGGGAAAACATGTGGAATGCAGGCCAGTGCTTTCTCAACTTAATTGGAAAGGGACAGGAATAGGAAGACAAAGTAATAGTTTGAGAGTGTTAGCGTATGTAGGTGCATTCTTAAAAAATAAATAAATAAAAATTGGTAACCTCTTTTCCCTTCTTTTGATCATTTAAGATGGGTGTTGGTTTTCTGTGAAACTTGGTGTTTCATCTGCATTGTTGGTAGTGCCTTATAAGGCAGAAATCCCGTTAAGTTCATAGAAATATTATTACTAAAACTCAGTGGCACAGGGCGAAGCCAATTTAGATCCATTTTAGATATGTATGGTAAATAATAACAACAACACTCCTGGACTTAGAAAAAGAATCAACTTCTGAATTCGCTTAGTTAACCCACTAAGAGAAGCTCTCAGTAGTGATCTGAAAGATATTTACATTTGTAATATTGGTTAATGTTGAAACCAAAACCTGTAGCTTAATTCATTACTGACAGAAGTTCTCCATTCACTGTTACAACATAAAAGGCACTTCTCGAATGCTGTAAAATGGTAAGAATGTGTGTTTTGAAATAGTGTGCTGTTTTCCTTTTACTAAACTCTTGTCCAGGTTTTGTACTTGAGTATAGCAAACTTTAACGTAATGTACATTTTGTATGTAAAGAGTTGTCTTTTAAGTAACCTTATCCTATTTAAATAAATTCAATTAAAAGCAAACAAAGTAGTGCTGACTTGTTTTTGTGATGTAATTAAAGTTGTTCATTTTACACACATTTCAGTAGACTTTGAAGTGATTAGAACTTAAGAAAGAGCTTACAGGGTAAAAGACTTGTTTTTGTGATGTAATTAAGGTTGTTTATTTTACACACTTACATTTCAGTGGACTTTGAAGTGATTAGAAATTAAGAAAGAGCTTACAGGGTAAAAGACTGTAGCAGCTCTGGAGTTTAGCAGCAGTTAGTGTTGTGTGAAGTGCTGGTCCTTGCACTAGTGTAGTAGCCTGGTAGGAGTTCTGTTTTCTGTGTGGCTTCTTGGCAGTAGTTTAGAGTTTAGTCTATATTTTGTTGTAGTTCCAGTTGTAGGATCATGTGTATTGTTGCGTGTTAAGGAGTATGCAGAACTGTACTGGAATAATAGCATGATGTCTTGTTTTCAGGCTAGTTTGCTTTTCAGGCTTGTCGTGTTTCACCTCACTTTCCTCAAAGCTGGGACCATTTTGCCATCTATTGTAGTTATTGGAGGGCAAGATACAAGCCATACTGCTTTTGCTCCCTTCCACTATCCCCTTAGTAATCTTTCTTTTCTCAGTAAAGTATTAGAGCTGCAATGTGTTGGGGGATTGTCAGCTTCCAGAGGAGAAACTGAGCTGCTTGCCCTCCTCTGTAAGAGGGATTTTCATGGCCATTCTTTACCACAGCCTTCATCATAGAATAAAGTAATCAAACAACAGAATTTAGTAATTCAATGAGATCTGATTTACACAGTGTGCACTTCAAAAATGTCAGCCAGCAAAGTTCTTCAAATGGTTTCCCAACCAAATCTTACCTGACGCATCTATTTGTTGAATTAATGAGAGAGGAATGACCTGTGAGCACACTACACTTGGTACAAAAAGAGGCAAATTCAAGAGTGGTGACAGGAACTAGGAGCAAACTTTTCCTACCTAGTTACACACAAAGTGTATGCCTAATCCTTCTTTCCACATCTGAAGATTCCAATTGGAAGTGTGACATATTACTTTCCTCCTTTTGCTGGATGCAAATGAATTCCATCCAGAAGGTGTGCCAGGATCATACATTTGTGTAACATGGGCGGATTTCTTGAGGTTTGTTTTGGGAAGTGTTAATCTTCCTTTGGATTATTTCCTCTTGATTTTATTGACCTGCTAGCATTCTGTGGTTGAACTTTGCCTTTGCAGCAGACATGTAGCAGAAATGACGCTAGAGCAAATGGTATTTACATATTGCAATACATAACAAAATGAAAGCATGCCCTAGCATAGAAGTTAAACTTCTGACTTTTGCAAAGATGAATGTCTTCTGAGCTGTCTTGACCTTTCTTGCTGAGAAAAACAGTATTTTGTTTTTTAGTTTAGAGCCTACTAGCACATTTTTATCAGCTGCATTCCATTCAGTATTTTCACACAGTTGTTTAGTTTTGCCGATAATTTCACACTAATTTCAGTTAGTAGCAGACTATGTTGTATCAGCAGGGTCCATCTGAGGATTGCCTAAACCCCACAGGTTCCTAATGACGAAGTGCAAAAAAAGTTGTGTTTGTGTGGCTCTTGCATTATGTTCCTTCAGACTGTGAAAGCATTTCATTTGTAAATATCTAATATGTAAATGCAATTAAACCACAATCACTATTTTGTTTTAAATGATTTTATTTTGAAAAATACAATGTGCAGCGTAATGTCGACTAACTGTAATACTGACACTGTCAATCAGAACTTGTACTTCACACAATGATCAGCTAGTCATGCAATAAAATATGTACCTGTTACAAAGCACTCCCACTTCAACTGTTTTATCATTATATCTCTTCATTGCATGGCACACATCCTTGTACATTGAACACCCTCTACATTCACGGTCTTTCTACACACTTGACAGCGCACACTAGTCACATAGCTTTAGAACACTGAGGCGAGACCACATCCTTACTGAAATTGAATGGGGTTTGCCATTGATTTCAGTGGGCTGAGGGTTTCACCCTGAATATCCATCTATGAATGTATTGTATGTGGCCATTGTAATCCTTGAACTACATCACTTGCTTGTAACCAGAATATGGAGTGCAAAACCAAAAAGAGTATGTTAAGTCAGTAACCCCCAAATGATGTTACGTCTTGGGTTTTGCATTGGTTTTGGTTAGCTGTAGCAATCTTGAACACCACCACTGCTACTAGGGATTTTGAAGTTATTTTCCCTCCAGATTTGGAGAGTTTGGAGAAAAAGTTTAAGTAATGTTAATAGTACAGCGAAAGTCAGAGTGGCAAAGCTAGTTCTGAACATCTGTGTATTTCAGACTATATATTGCAAGCATGGCTTTCCTCCCTCTCCTCACCTCTTGTTTTGATCTTTAAATA